TTTGACAATGTTCGTCTAATAGAAATGCCAGTAGTCTGAGTCAGCCTCATTGATGTTATAAGTAGCTGAATTAAAAATTAACTAACTACACTATGTGATCGACAGACACCGAAAATTATTGATTTGCATATAAACTACAAGAAAGAAATTTATTCCCTCACTATATCAATAACAAATGGCTAAAAATTTTTTTTCTTTTTCAACAAAGTGAATTGGCCTAGTTAAAAATGTAAAATAACAACGTATAATTTTTGTCAATGAAAAAATAGCCTATATTCACTCCAAATTACAGAGTGAGTGTAAAAAAATCTCAGTGTTATTTTTTAATTACAACTTTCTATGTATGAAATTTAAATGATTCAATAACAAAACTTTATCTCAACAATTATTTTTTAATTGAAATTTAAAACTTGATTTAAAACCGAATGATAAAAGGAACGAAATAAATAAAAAGATGAATCAATCTTTCGAAATAGTTAACTCGATAAGAGGATCTGGAAATTAAATGAAATAATTATTACCTAAATATTGGTAATTTCCAAAACTTTGTGAGTTCATATTATAAACTTTATATATTTGATTATACAATATTACTGTCGAGATAATAGCTCCTTTAATTAATTATGTTAAGTGGTATAACGGCGGAAAATAGAGAATAAGATAATTAATATGAGAAGATATTTTGCTGTATTTAACGCTCGAACAAGCAAACATTATTGTCGTAATGTAAGTTGTTATTTAAATGTTATGTAATACAAAAGTAGCAGTTTAGTTTATTAATACGTGTGGAATAAATGTAAAGGGTATCAGTAACCTTGACCAACTTTTTTTAGCACGGAAATACCATTGAAACTATCGATTTTACAAATATATAAATTATTACAAAAGACAAGTCGTAGTAAATTAAAGGACAACAGTATCTTCGACTTAATCTTCAATGATTAAATAAGTTTTTTTTTCAATATTCACTTTAATGACTTTTTATTTACTTTTGAAAATACTGTTTCAATTTGAGCGATTTGCGTCTATTATTTCATAGTTGATTAATATTGATTATTGAATTAAATAGTTTGAAAATATGACTGTAAAGTGTATCAGTTTTGAAAGAATTTGGATTCCCAAACAATTTTTTCATCTTACTGATAAAAAGTATTTATCATTTATTGATGAAATGTCTTAATCATAAAAAGAAAAAAAGTTATCAGCATGAAAAAATTTAAATAATAACTTTTATTTCAATTGGTTATTTATTTTTCGGTTTATGACGATCATCACAGAAGTAATAATATCATTGTCGATAAAACTTTATTTGACAAAAAATTACTTCTATCTTGTCTTTGCATTTTCTTACTATGAATACATTTTAATAAAAATTTTATCAAAGCAAATTTTTTTAACCTTAAGAAAATCGATTTTTGTTTGAAATTCACAACACGGAGAAAATTTCAGGGTAAATATTATTCTCTTCTAATTCCTAGTTAAACTAATCCGACCTACAAAGATTAAGAGATTAAACTCTCTTAAACACTTGATTATAAAATGAAAGTAATTTTTCGAATAATGAGTAACACAGTCAAAAATAAATACTAAATCAGAATTGCTTATTAATATATTAACTTTGAAAGAAAAAAATTGAAAAATAAATTATTACCCACTTTACTCTCTATAACATAAATTAGCATTCCGAAGTTATGTTTTAAAAAAAATTGTTTTATCAGCTCTTATAATTGGTTCATACCTTATCTGCTTGCATGAATTATACGGAACGATTCAGCGATTAAAACAGAATCGATTAATCCATAAAAAATATAATTGCACCTTGAGGTTATGATGTGTGTAACTATTAAAAAAAAAAACCCTGTGAACTCGATAAAATAAATTAATTTTAGGAATTAGCAATTAAACTCAACATTCAAATTAATTTAATCAGTGCATTGAATCAAATTAAATTGGTATGATCTATAATTAGCACTGCGTACATACTCATATTTATACACGCGTTTGTATGCAATTGCATACAAACGGTGCAATAATTAAATTTTTTAATTCATAATTTTTTTTTTACAATAAAAGCATTTAAAAATAATAATTAATAGTCGTTATTAGCACATCAAATAGAGTATAAGTAATGAATTAATAAATTCTTTATTAATATCGATTCCTTAGTAAGCTCGATAAAAGACTGACCTAGATTATAAATCTTAGTCACAGAAATACCGGCTTACGGTCACCAAATCACGAGCTTTAATTATGTGATAAGAAAACCGCCAATAGGAATTATAATTAAGCTAATAAAAACTTTAAATTAATAAAACAAATGCCCTTTCATCACGGTTATATCGACCTTGGTTAACTGTGCAATGAGCCATAGGTCACATGATCATTTGTATGAATATTTTTATTTTTTTTCGGTGGGTGAAATATTTTTATTTTTTCTTTTAACTATTGCAGATGATCCATTAAGTATGATCTATGTACTTGCTATGCAATTTATATAGTCTCTATATATCATATATAACTGTCCAGCAATAAAAATTTTTCCTGAGAGACCACTGGGTAATCCAGTGAGCCACACAATCGGATTGTCCTGTTCGAATGATTTACAGTGAATTTGTTTTCACGTCTGAGTATGTTTTATCTAACTGTATAGATCATACACGAAGACTCAAGTCTATTTTTACTTAGAAAATTTATATACATATATATTTATAGTTTTTTGCTAGGATCCAAGGATACCGTGTGCAGCAAATTGGAAAAAATTCAAGGTCAAGAAATCGCTGTTGGAAAAGGAAAATATTATTTATTACTTCATAATAAAAATAATAAATTGGCTTTATGCAATTTCCGTAATGTATTTGAGAAAGATAAATTTTAAAATTTTCCAAATTGTTGATTATTTTTATTTATTTATTTCAACTCGGTGAAAAATCGAAGTTCGAAAACTTTGAGGAAAGACTTAATTGAAATATTAAAAATAGTGACTTCCAAAGTTAAAAAAAATTTAATAATTGTATTGTTGCGTTCGAAAAACTGAAACATGCTAAAAATATTTTAAAAATTTAAATTGAATAGTGGGTACATAATAAAACCTGCAGTAGCATGACTAAGTAAAATACTGAATAAAATTCTTGTCGCTAAAGAGTGTACACGAAATAAAGATGTTTTATATAATTCAACAGTTTCTCCAAACTAATTACGTGTAAATAAAAGAATAAATGAAGCTCGTACTCTCAAGAAATTCAAAGAGATTCAACGACAGCATTTGTGTATCTCAGAAATATCAAATAAAGGAGATCCATTTATTATTAATCTCTAGTAAAAAAAAGTAACACTGAATTTTGAGTTCACTCTTTCAAAGCGTACTCAAAAAAATAATTCATGTTCACTCATTTATATCTGAATACTCATGAACATATATGTTCAATTTATAATCATGAACTATACTGTCTGTAAAAAAAAAAGTGATAAAAAAAGTTGAGCCAATTAAACAACCGCTTAAATCTGATCATTAAAAGTAAAAGGTTAAAGGTTAGAGAGATGAATTTTATAAAAGTAAATTAAATCTGGATTATTTTTTGTGAAAGATAAATGTCCGTCCTCCCATTAAATTTAATGATGATAGACCAAATAATGAAACAAACCTATTAACTAGTTTATTGCACGAATCACAATTGACGTAACCAGTTTTTTTTATAGACATTGTGTACGCGATACCGCAGAGGATATCCGAAAAATAAAAGATCAAAGAAGAGATAAGAACACAGTTTTATTTTTTGCTCGTCACGTTTCGAGCTGTCGTATTATATACATATACGTGGCGACTCTTTTATACATTATGGACGGTATACTTCACAGTCTATATCCTTTTTCGTGCTTAGTTCATGACCATTTTTTAAATTTGAGAAACTCAAGCTCAAGGAACTACTTTCCTTTCATGAACCATTAGCGTCACGGCACCTTTATGTTTAGCTACAATCGGTCAATTACCTTTTTCCTCTTCCAAATGGACTTTTTTCGATGTCTGGATGGTTTGTATTGATCTAAGCTTATCTCGGTTTATATTTCACCTTTTACTATCTATACAAGAGGAAGCATTGCTTTTATGCACACATATGGGGAGATTAAATTCTTCCAACAATCTATGTATACATCGCAAGGCCTTTGAAGAAGCTCTTCAAAAGCATCTAACTATTTCTAAATACCGTCAACTTTTTAGCTATACCTTTATACCATCGCTCTCTACATAAAGACGTATATGCATTTTTTAGCTTTATCAGTATGGAAATAATACATACACTGTAAAAAATCGGGAGTGAATTTTACTCCCATCACTAGGAGTACCGGAGTGAAGTAATTAAACACTCCGCGTTCGGAGAGAATCCGGAGTTTTTTTCAGAGGAGTAATTTCGAAGTGATTCAGGAGTGAATTTGGATTTTCATAAATAAATATTAATGTATTCTTTACATACTGATTGAAATGTTATTGAGAAATATTTTTTAAATAAAGCTTTTCTGATGACGAAAAAAATTCATTAATTTAATTTATTGATAATATCAAAAAATTTTATTCAACATAGGATTTAAGATATAAAATTTATTTATATAATAGTAGCATAAAAATTCGTCAAATTCATCTAAAGGCAGTATTTTGAAAACGATTTGGTAATAAAACTTGTAAAAAAATCTTATTTTCTCTTAATACGCCGTTTAAACTAAAAGAAATGGTAATACTTAAAAGTGTATACATTATTTACCGAGTAATGAGATTTAAAAAAGTCAAGATGTTATTACTAAATGTTTGCTGACATAATATAAGTACGTCTATAAAAATACTGAACTATAACGTGGCATATACTACCATTTTCTTTATGTTCATTGTACGAAATTACTTACTATGTTAAAAAAAATGTCCACGAATCCAGTCTAGTCTTTAATTATAAATTTCAAAGCTTACTCGGAAAAGTATAACATCAACATTCAGTTTTATTCTAGCTGTTAAAATGTTCCCATTACACGACCAAGTTAGAGGTCAATCTTGCAGAGAATTACATGGCTCACAAAAAATAAAACAGAAAAAAAACTACAACATTTCTATTTTATTTAAAAATTTAACTTCATCTAGTACAAGAGTGATTAAAAAGAGAATTGGAAAAATAATTCTAGTCGTTAAAATCAGACAATACATATGGAAAAAATTCTTTGTTCGTTTAGTAAAAATATCCGCAATCTATCGGTGAGTTTTGTAAATTTTAGTTGAGGGTTGTTACAAGAAAAACGTTTTTAGTATTCATTAAAAAAATTTCATGTAACTGGGTTGGAATTTATCGATCAAATATTCAGAATTTTCGCGGTTTTATTATTGGACAGTAAACATAAATACCTTTCATGTTATTTGATAATTCACTGATGGAATTTTTGGCATGTCAATTTTCATAACTATCCACGTAAATGTAAACATAAAAATTTTTATACCAGATATTTTCTTCCAAGAAATACAATTTTTTATTCCTGTAAAAGAATCTTGAGTAGTTTGTTGTCTAGGTGTATAGCGCATTATAAAACGATTGAGCACGACTCGGAAATGAAGTTGTTTCCGTTCACACTATTTTACCTTTTTATTGTTCCATTCATTTATAGTTCGAAACAAGGTCGTCTTTAGCATTTTGTTTTTGAAATAATTATTCATCACAGCTATTTTCACAATATTTTTTTTCAGTAATTTAGTAACATTTTATCTTTAGTTATTTTCATTACTATAGTCTATTGAGTATAATAAAAGTTTACAACTAGGAAATTCATGAAGATAGTGAGACCCAGGAGCATGGGTGTTCAAAATATATGTTTACCGAGAATGATGAAATATATATACTATAATATAATATTATAAAATAAATAACCGGGTAGAAAAGATTACTCAGTTTATTGAATTGATTTTTTTATTGATAGTATATACGCTGCTGGAAGAATCAGGCGGCTACATACCTCCGAAATCATCAGCCTCGACGGATATAACTCTTCTGGTAGCAACACTTCTTAAAATAAATGGCGCACCTCTTTTTGATTTCTACGTCGATGTCGACTTGTATGATCACACGAGAGTATCAGTTTTTCTGGACCTGCCCTCCAGACATTTAGCAGACACATTTTTTTCCAATAAATATGTAAGTGTTGTTTTTATCAAATTTTTTTATTTTACTTTTGTTTAGTTACATAAAAATAAATGTTGTGAGAAATAAATATTATTATTATGAGAAATAAAATAAAAGTTTCAAATAGAATTGTACACGACAGAGGAATTGAAGCACATACCTAGAGAAATTTATTCAATGCGTTGTTTGGATTTTATCAATTTACCCACATACCACTATGCGAATATACAAATAGATTGATGATATTGATATCAAAAATACTGCTTTATTGTTTTACATTAGTATCACGGAAATTTATCTTATAACTGTATTCAATTAATCGTTATGGTTATTTTTAGACCCTTTTCAAAATTTTTTAGTTAAAAATAAGTGTAATGGTAAATTCAAAGATAAATCTTTCTATACCAACAATTACTTTATTGTTTTTTTTATTGACCATTAACAATAAAAATGTCAAATTTATCAATCAATTAATTTCAGAATGAAAATTTTAATAACGCTAGAACTTTCATAGAAAAAATTTATAAATTAAAAAAATTGATTTTAAAATTGCTTTTCCAAATAAAAAGCTTAGAATCTATAAAAAAAAGACTTTTCAATAAACATCTTGAAATATATTCATTCGTTACATATGTTTGAATAGTTAAAAGTCTAAAAATCATGTTTCGCATGTTTTTGAAAACTACATGTAAAATTCCCTTGGTAGAAATATCCGCGAATATCAGATCCTAAGGTATGTAAATACTTCCTTTTGATAATAAGCTTCTTAAGTGCAATTTAGATTTGAGTATTCATACTCACATCTATGATAGATATCGTAAGAGAGCTTTATATTTTATCTATTACATTTTCATTTTATCTCAATGGAAAATATAAAAGGAATTTTTTAATAAATATTTAATAAAAAATAAATAAAATATATTTGTTTCAAAATTTTTTGAAGTACACTACTAAAGTAAAATTTCAAATTTTCACAAAAAAATTAAAGTAAAAACTAGCAATTTTAAAAATTTACTAATAAAAATAAAGAGGAAATTTATCTTGTTGAGACATGGGATTTTTTTTTCATTTTTCTGTTAGTGTTTTATATTGCCTCGGAGTTTTGTTCTATTCCAGTTTCCCCTAATTCAAGAAAATAACAAACACTCGAAAAAAAATTGTTTTGTAAAAAAATTTTAGCGTACTGTCTGAGGTAGTCAATTCACTCGATCCGCCCTCTGACTAAAAAAATTTTTTTGTTTACCCTGTAAAATATTACCTAATCCCGCCCGGATTTGGCTGAATAATGAAACTAAATAAATTTACGTAAATATATATTGTATATTATTGATTGAAAGCGAAAGAGAAGAAGTTGCCAAAGAATAAATAAATGTAATTCATAACGACATGAAGACAGTTGAGGATTCGAAATGAAAAGATACTGTCTGAAGAAATCGGTAGCAACATCGGTTAGATATCTATCAGTGGGGCACGACAGTCTGGAGCCGCGAGAAGTCGATCTCCACACAAAGAGGATATAGATACGTAACATAGCAGGGTACTGAGTGTGGCATGGGTTGCATTGGCCCATTGCCAAAATGTGCATTGACGACACGGCGGAACTTATAATATCCTGCTATGACATTACAGCTATTTTTTACTTTACGAACCGTAATTTATATTTTCATTTAATTGCTTCATAAGCTCAGCTAATAATCGATTTATTTTTATGCCTATTGCTCTAATTGTTCATCAACTTTCGCTATAAAGTTTCCCGGCGAGTCGATTTGTCGGGCTCAACAACTAGAGATTGACATGATGCATTTAATAAAGTTTCAAAATTTTCGACATAATTTTGAAACTCTAAGATGATATTGATGACACGAGAAATATTGCAATAAAAGTAAGCGCGTAAAAGGATATACTTTGCTTTACAGACGTTATTATTTTTATTTTTTTTATTTTAGCGTTTGATGTCAAGAAATAGAAATAGTTTTAAAGTTATCGATGAATTCTATCACGTACACTCAATTACTTGAATTAAAATTTATCTGACAGTGAATTTTGTTGATAGAAAACTCTTCGAGAATAAAATAATTATTTTATTGACTTTCCGCAGTATAAATAGACAATGTTTAGTTTCTTAAATAAACTTTTCCTTCTTCTCAATTTACTTGTTCGGTAAAGTCTATAAACTTCATTAATATTTAATTAAATAAATATTTTTTTAAGTAATCATGATGAATGCTCTTTTATTTCTAGCAAGTACTTAGAAAACTTGTGGTAGAAAAACATCTGAATTTATAATTTATTGAAAACACTTTGGGAAAAAATCTATTTAAAAATGCATGCCTCCTCTTATAGATAATAAAAATCGATAAAACCACTAAGGAATTATTTAAGGCGGCATGCATTCTATGTGAAGCTTTCTTACTTGGCATGCACTCACATTATTTGTTTTAGGAGTAAAAATATCAGTTTCTTAAAACTTTTTAGCTTAACGTTGTTTTTTAACTTCACTTTTTTGTTATGAAATAAATAATAAATACTAACAATAATTTCACTTTTTAGAACAAAATTAATTTTCAATAGTTTAATTGATAAATAAAGATCGAAATAACTATAATTATTATACTAAATATGATAGCTACTTTGAAATGCGTAGCCTTAAAAGCTCAGAGGAATTTTGGATTCTCTGGAAACGACCGAGTTATGGTAGTTATGTAAATTTTTTAGATCCAAGAGTCTATTTGGGAAAATAAACAACTTAAGCTCTATTGTACGGTATTTTTCAAAGCTCCTGATTTTTCGATAAAGAAATACGTGGTTTGGTGACTTAAGCAAAGTAGACGGCATTTTTTAGAAATGAAAGTCAATTTTGAGTTTTGAGTCGGTAAATAATAATATCTGAATTGTATTTTAAAAACTAAAAACTAAAAAAGACTATTAAAAGTTAAAATACTGAATGTAATAGCTCAATTTTTTTATCTACTGTTCATAGGAATGAAAATATCTGAATCATTGTTAAACCGATTTGGAAAGTTCGTGACTCTATTAAGCAAGATAAATAACTTCGACTATATCATGCGGTATTTCACAGAGCTTTTGACTAAACTAGATATAAAATACCCGATTTAAAAGCTTAAGTTTCTTAGACTATTACTTACACCTAATAGTATAAAAAAGTTGACTAATGTTTTAATTTTTTCGTCGTGAATGAAGATTAATAATATCATTACTGAAAAAGACTGGTCTACTGATTTAAAATTAAATAAAAATTTTTCTTCAATTAATTTATTCGTACTAAAAATTTTGACATTTGAATTTAGATTTTTTATTCGATTAAAAAAATTATTTGTAACTTTGAACGCATGTACAAAAAATAACAAACAATAATCCCTTAGTCAACTCTAAAATTCTCTCAAAATATTATCCATTAGTTCAAGTTATGAATAATGAATTTATTTATTTTCCCAAAAGTTATGAAATTTTAATTGAAAATGAGATACAGATCTGAGAGATCTAAAAGATGATTTACTACGAATCCGGTGGCATAAATTTATTTTAATTTAAAAGAAAGACATCTTAATGTCAACGGAATGATTTGTTAATATATTATAGTAGATGGATTTTTGATTCACAGAAAGACGGACCGAGATGGCACGCAGAGGCAAGCATGAAAAGAGTAATCCGCAAAAAAAGATCTAATCCTGCAGAGAGTCAAGCGTATACCGTCATCAAGGTAAATACTGATAATTATTACTTTGGTCAATGTAAATAATTAATACTGATAATACAAACATTTTAATCAAAAAATTTATATCATTTTTTATTTAACTATGCTTAACAAGTGTTAGTTTTTAATTATAATTTTAAATCCTACGATTATATGCACAAAAAGACATTTTATGCTAAAGTAATTCGTGTATTACGTAGACAGTATAAAAACCAAGGGTGATGTATTTATCGTCTTATGTTGAAATTTTTAATTATATTTAAAATATTCATCTTTTAAATAAAGATCTCATAAATAAATGCTGGTAATGTGTTTTAATTTACAAAAGTAATTAAAATTTATAAATACGACTTTCCTTTAACAATATATAAATTTATTTTGTTTGTGTATATTTTGAAAATCTAATTTTCATGTTACTATTCTCCAATGGCTGAGTTGAATCCAACACGACCACTCTCGGATTTTTATTCTTTACTCTATTTTTTACGATTATTTTTATCAAAATTAAAGTTGAAAATCATGTAAAATAATTAGCCTAGTGCAAAATTTATAGAGAATAAAAGAAGCAGTAGATTTATTTTTAAAAGTTTTTTTTTTTATGATGGACAAAAAAAAAGTAAAAAATTACCGCAGCCTGGATTCGAACCAGGGATTTTCAAGGAAACATTTTCAGCTTGTAAGCATAGGTGGACCTTCATACTTCGCCGTCCATCTTACGGCTTTAAATAAATTATATTATTTTTAGAATTGAAACTTTATTATTACTGTTGTGAAGTTAGCAACCTGCTTATATAAGAAGCACAGTGCTACTCCCGCATATTACACGCACGGGTTTTTTTAGATAAGAATATCCCAGAGTAACGGACAATAAGGGATATTAAGGGAGAATACAAACTTCACATGATAAAGTTTACAAGCATGAACAATGTCTTGACGCCTTAGCAACTTGGCTACTGTGGCACTTGTAGCTTCGACTTTCTAAAAGCTATTTAAGCTACAAATCACCTTTCGTACTTCTATAGCTCATTATTGTTAATATTTTTTCAAAATTTCATTTCACCCATGACTTATAATCGAATCGATTAATTAAAAAATTTAGAAAAAAAAAATTTGACATTGAAAAAAAAAAATAAAGAATGAAAAGTGCAGTTGCAGCATGGAATCGAACCAGAGCTGTTAATCAGACAAATTTAAAGGTCCCTGCTCCAAGTTGGTTTAGTACGGAAACGCTCTTACTTATTTCAATTGATTTACATGTTTTAAAACTAAGATGACTAGTTTTTGTAGTTAATAATTTTTTGATTATTAATAATAAAAAAAAACTAACTTTTCGATTAATTGAAATGTTTAATTGTTTGAATCGATTCAGTAATAAACCTAATATAAATATTTGACAGAAAAGCTTATTGCTTCAGTATCAATAAATATATTGCGATTTTGCTAGTCATTATTCATAGTACCAGTAATCATTTTTGTAAAGTTATGTAAATCCTCGAATAAATCCGGCTGAGGATACAGTATCAGAGACTTTGATGTACGGATTTAGCCATGAAAAATGAGGTAACTGCAGCTAAACTTTTGCTGAGGATTATGTTTTAAAGTCAACAATTCTTTTAATCTCATCGGATAATTTTTCGAGTCATTTACTGAATTCTATAGCGTTTTTGTTTTTGTAACTAAATCAAAACGATATTTCAAACTTTCAATTAACTGTTTTACTTCAGATTGATGGTGGATTTGTACTTTATGACTTTATAAAAACGTTGAGTTCCAATAAAATAAATCCCTCAAACAGATTCTAGCCACATTTGAACCCTTCGCACGATATTGAATTTTTGAAATCGATTTTTGCGGGCTTATAGAATTTAATTACTGCACACATCAAACGTGAATGCGATTTAGGTACTAAACTTTATTTGATATACTTTTGTTTGATTAAAAAACTATTTATATATTTTTTAAAGTTGTAAAAAATTTTACATTTTAACAATTAATAAATTTCTTCTAGATTGAAAATATAAATATAAACCTCATTTAGGATTAAAAAAAAATAATAACTGTCTACTACATCCTAATTTTATTTTGTCAAAGTTTGTTCACTGTTTACAAACATAAAATTTAAAAGTATACATTTTTGTGTAAACATAAATAGGCTATACTTTTTTTAATTCTAAAACAGTAATCTGCTAAAAAAGTAATATTCTAAAAGTTTACAACTTTAACAAAGTTTGTAGTCGCTGTGTACTTTAGTTTCGAATTTAACAGTTCCAGGAATATTTTAAATAGTTTCCATCCGTCACAAAGTTAGATTTTCCTGCGCCGTGGATGGCAGTGACCGAGCTAACCGACCGACAGAATCAATAATTCCGGATAAAATCAATAGGAACCGACACTTACGTATTTGGTGTCTCATTTATATTTCTATTTTATATTATAAAATAATAATATTTAAAAATATGCGCAACAAAACCTCGGCAACATCCCTAACTTCGAGAGCTCAATTGTTTCCATTTGATCATAAATATAATACGTAACTCAACGGATATCAACAGACTTGATATTTTCTCAGCAGCTCTACTCAAGAATTTATTTATAAAATGCTTAAAATTCACAATATTCTCGGAATATAGATAATATCTCCAGAAATTTTTCATTTTATTCATACTATTTTTCATCTGTGTATCTTACTTTAATGTATCATACACTAAATTTATGTTTTGTAACACATACATGTATACTGACAATGCCATCACCTTTTTCGTAGAACATCAATTTAATGTTTTGATAAATCTATTTTGTTTTTATTAAAAATTTTCGGATTTATTTAAAAAATTAACTGGATTAAAATGAAAACTTTAAAGAAACTTAACTTTAATGTTTCCTCTTTAAAATATAGAATTTTATTTTTTAAATATAAATAAAAATATGTGCAAAAATAATGAAAAATTTCGAATGCATTTCTAAATAAATTTTTGGATTTCCAATTATAGAAAAACCAGATGACGGTAAAGGACAATTGCCATTCATTTAATATAATAAATATCAATCTATTTATGTACAGTATACATAATCATATGCATTTAATTATTATCAAAACACCGGTAGTGATATATACAAAGATATAATACAAGTTAATGATTGATATCAATCCACTATTATCGTAAAAGCAATAACTTATATTGAAATGCTGACAAGACGAAATCACGATTTTAGATTACCAAAACGTACAACATTATGAATAGTCAGCGAATCTAATCCACCCTACTGTCAATTTAAAATATACATCTAAAAGCTCATACCAACTTTTTATTATCCTACATTGATTGATTTGGGTAAGTTATGAGAAGAGAAAAACGAAACACCATATTATTTTGTTAAATAACACACAGTTAATAACTTACCGATTGCTCCGAAAATAGGCACAGGAAAAAAATCATAAAAAGCATTTGCATTTGCTCCATATTGTACTCCGACATAATCCTGAAAAGAATAAAAAATTATTATCACCAGAAATTAAATTGACCTAAAAATGACATAGTTTTTGAGGATTAAAAAGAGGTAATTTTTAAATTAAATTATTCCATTAATTCACAACCAGTTAGAGTCTCGTCTACTCGGCATACATTTTTAAAACACAGTATATTTTTTATGATGTTTTAAATGAGACAGCTTTTTATTATTCATAAAGTATGACTGAAAGAATATTATAATAAATATGAGTATGATATATCCGCATTAGTAAAAACAAATATTACCTTCTCGCTCACAGTAACAGGATTTATATTCAATTCATATTCATGATTTACATGAAATCATTAGTCAGCTCTATGCTCTATCTGACATTGATGTCTAATGCATCTAAGTACGCTCATGTTTCAATAAATATATATTTTCTTCCCAACTCGAAACATCATATGGATGAATTTCATTTTAAAATTAACGTAGAACGTTAATAAATTAATATTCTTAAATTACAAATTTACTTTTACACCAAATTAATGGGTACTAATATTACTTTTCTCCACGCGTTATAATATTGATTTTTCTCCCGTTTATAAACTTTTAATCATTAATTGATTTCTCGTATTCCCGCTGTCGATTTGAGTGCTTAAATTATTCAAAAATTATGATAAATGATTTACAGTATTCCATTGACACAAATTAGCGCTTGCACTTTAAAGGTCCTCTTGATCCTACAATATTAATTTGGTTTTCAGAGCAAGTACAGAACATTTATAAAAATTAAATGTTCTCGTGGCAAATGTCAGATGTTCCCGGGTTTCTAAGTAATAAAATATGTAATTCGTAATTTATTATGGAGCAGTGCATGCTAAAAACTAACTTTTCAACAAAACTTTTTCTCATGTGCATAAAATATTATATGCCTAACAATTTTGCTTAAATAAAAATGACTAAGTAATTAAACAAGCTTAATTAAAAATGCGTCCTAGTTGAAACATATTCATTATATATGTATAAATATATATATTAGATATCGATAATTAAATACACAGACATATAATCAATTTGTTTTTATTTATAAATTCATCGACATCCCCAGTATTATACAGAATTTACTAATTAACGTCCAAGTGTAGCATTCAATGTCAACAATCAGTAGTCTGTACATTTCAGTTTTACGTGTTTTATATTATTATATGCTACAAACTATAATAATACTTTAGACGTAACATTCTATCTACGTAACATTATTCCAATAAATGTTTTACTCACGTCCTCCGAATAAAACCTTCCGTATTACGTTCAATAGCAAATATGTACGTGAATGAGAAAGTATTGTAAATGACGGTATATTTTAACAAAAAACTCATTTTATTTTTATTCGTATTTATAAAAAAATCTAGTATTATATTTCTGTATATTGTGATAATTCTTCCTTAATAAATAATAATAATTATTTATTTCTATTTACAGAACGCGAGGGATGAATACAGATGCCACAAAATTGAAAAAATATTGCACCAATACTTACCAATGAATATGGAGAAGCGTGAGCGATCATATGAAACTTATTTGTTGTTACAATTCTGTTTATCACTTAGCAAGGTATTGAACAATAATTACTTAAATTAAAATATAATTCATGAAGATAGTCTAGAATCAAAATCTGGAACTCTCTAACTTGACCTAATTTTTTCTTTTCATTTGAAAGATTATTATTATACGCATCTCTAAAATATTCATCATGTTTTTCAGTAAAATAATCATAATAATTTTTAAAAAAGTTATAAATAGCGAGAGCAATTAAAAGATGAAAAATAAAATTTACAATTTTTATTTTGACTAATGATTTTATTCTTATAATACGTTTTTAGAAAGAAGTTTGAAAAAAAATTCTAGACTATTTTTATTTATCATTATTACTGTATAGATTTAGTGCTAAAAAATGTATGACTTTATTTATAGATTTATCCTCGGCAAAAAGACTTGTATAATTGGGTTGACGTTGATCAAAGAGTGTACGTGCCGTACAATCTGACGTACCTTCAGGATAACTTCAATTATGTATGTTAATTAAAAAAATAGAATAAAATGATAATTATCTATAATATAGGGTTGTAATATTATACTCTGTTATTTATGTGGTTGTTCCTCGGTTAGATAAGGTGGAAGACGCTGTTGAACATTACGATGGATAATGACACTTTGAACAATTTGTACAAACATGGAACTACTGACGATCAGTTTGTGTATGTTTACATCACTGCACCTCGGTATTTCAGAAGTTTAGGGAAATTGCTCAATCAATTTTCAAAGAGGTTTGTATTATCGTTATTAATAACTCGTAACTACCCACAGTCTTTAAGTAACTTCCTCAAAATAGTTTCTGAATACATTTAATGCTAAAGTTTTTGAGTTTAATTATCTATTGAATAAACTTACATGTTCATAAAATAATATTCATTATTATTATTTTATATTTTTGACTTTACTAGATAATTTATTTAAATCGATACTTTAAAAATTATCAAAAACAACTCATGTAAAAACTTTATTAAATTTTTACATTATTTATATTTAATTTCTCAATAATTTTCAGCGCTGTTTATAAATTTATTTAAAGCAGAAATTTTTTTTTTTAATTTAAGTTAATTAATCAAGAAAATCAATTTTATATCTCATCATATAATATAATAAATGCAAATTTCAATAAAAACATAAAAATTTTTTTCCGAAAACCTGAATGAAATCTTTTAAAAATCAACTCGATTAAAGATTAAAGCTAAAATTTTATTAATATACAATTACGCTGTATCATATAATTTTTTATGAATAAAAACCAAAAAAAAAAAATTCTTTCAAAAATACACTCTTTATTCTACATATTTAAATTAAACGAGACAGTAAAAAGCTTTCCATTACAACAATGAAATTCACTTTAAAAGCTTTCGATTGAAAATGACAGTTAATTTGCGTTTTGTCGTAAAATGTTTGATTTATCTGCTTCACTTGGCATCAAATTAAATGACATTCTATTAATTTAAATAACGCACTTTCATTACTTTCAATAAATTCGGAATAATAAGAAACAAACTGGCATAAATAGAATTCGTGAGCTCGATGAATAATGGCGGCTAAATATAGATTTAGACGTAAAAAGTTTGGATGTACAAGCATCCGCAGATGATACCAGGCTCCCCAAAACCTAGAATATTCACGACAGGAATAGGCAATCATTAGGTATGTAAAGTATCTAGAGAATTCATAGGTATGCTCAGGGGAATGATCTGTAACATCTGCGAGCTTAAACACTCTTGATCAACTATATCTACACAACAGTCAGAATAGTTTGGATAACCAGAGGAAAACGGTCACAGGTGTTCAAATTTAGTATGTACACTGACAGCGTTGGGGATAGCTAACCGTTAGTTTGTTTGTTTCAAATGCAATGTGAAATTATTCATGCTCGCCGCTACGCAAAAAAATTTATGTATCATCTCATCATAAATAATACCGAGACAGATAGGATAAGTCTAATATGTAATTCGGTTTTATATGTATATATAAATATATATCGTCAGAAATAAATGGAATTGTCACTTTTATTAATTTTAATTCCAATTGTGTTCTCAAAATACTGCGTGTACCCCGACGAAAAAAACATATATGAAAACATATGCGCAATTTTTAGTAGATTTATTTTAAAACTACTAATTTTGATGTCATTTGTGTACTTACTATTTTAATAAATGAAAATTTCATCCATTTATTTTTAGAGACTATAATTTTTTATATGTTTTTACATAGATTAGATAATATCCGTCTGCATACGAATAAAAAAAATATAAAAACATAAAGAAAATTGTTTATATACGTTTTCTGCGCAAATAGATGTATTTTCACTTAAATGTCTGCATATATAATTTCATATTTATTTTTCCCGTGGGGGTAGTTGGTAACAAAACCAGTAATAGGCCAGAATTTTCTTTTAGAATGATTCAAAAAATTATGATACGACAATTTTAATCAATGATCATTACCGCGCTCTAATAGTTACTTAAGCTTTAATTCAAAATTTAAGTAGTGTATAAATATGATTAATTTTAGTTTGCGCATAGTATATCATGTAGAAATTCATTATTTAAACTAAAAATAATATTAATTACCGGCAACCGGTTGCTACTGAAACAGTCGAGCAAATATTAAATATGAACCTGCTTTCAGGAAAAATTTTAATTAACTTGTTAATAAAGTAATGTGCTTATGAAATACTTAAACGAAAAACATATAAATGAAAATAGCCTCGGGGGTACAAGCTATATTGTATTAACGTATTTTTGATAATGTATTATGTTTCTGTTAATTCTTCAGTGACATAATTTACGTTTTTAGTCAGATATAATTGTTTTAACGTTTGATTTTCAAGCTTGTTGAATTTTTATATAAATAACATTATCATCTTATTATTGCAAGTATGTAGATTATCGTATTTTTTTATTATTATTATTATTACAACCACATCAATGTAGATACCTTGAAAAATCAGTATCGTATGATTGCAAGTACTTCAGAACGTAAATTACACTGTTACAGCTATAAACCGCTTTTAAGTATCTAATATTTTATTTTTCGGACAGTCTTCCATTTCTTTGGCTATCACTATTTTATTACAAAATCGAAATTTTCAAGAAAGACTAAGCTAAAAATTTTTTTGCCAGAAAATTTATTTTGATAGAAGAGTTTACTTTTTTTTTAAATATTAAAAAAAATGAATTTTAAAGTATTCTTAACAATATGAATCAACAAATGATGATAATAATAATGATTAAATTTTTTGTTTTTAGAGTTGTTCACAATGGTTTGCTACTTTTGTATGCAGTGGATACTCTTCACGACATCGTAAACGTAACTGCCAGTAACAATTGGAATGAATCTTGCAGCAAATTGACAAGAAATTTATTTTCCGAAATGGTTGGAGCCTTATATGTACAACAATATAAACCTCAATATTTACAACTACTAGCCGGTCGAGTGAGTAAACTGAATACTTGGAAATAGACTAACAACTAGTTGTTCTTAAATAAGCTGAAGAACTACATGAATTGATTTGTTATTTAGGTCAATAATTTATTCGAGCGAGTTAAGGAAACATTAGCAGAAAGGATATTAGTAAAATCTTGGCTTGATGACGATACCAGGGCACAATCTTTACTGAAGCTAACTGAGCTACGAGGCAAGTTTCACGTTTGGCCTGGTTTTCATAATAAGTCTTTACTGGCGCATGAAATGGCTAAGGTAATACTATGCGCTTTTGTCTAATCAACCATATAAATATTTCAATACTCTTTAGTAATTAATATTTTATCGATTCTACCTTTTTATTTAGGTTGTTATCGAGCCGGATTTTTTTACTACCGTAATTAAACGATTCCGACAATTACGTAACCTGAAGGACCAAGTTCTGAGAGGAACACTAAATGATAGGTAATTTACTTACCACTCATCGATTATCGACTTGCATTTTGTTGAGAAAAGTGCGGTTGAAATTATCCAAGTCAAAGTGATAAGTTCTCGTTAATTTGAAGAGCTTACGTTAATTTAAACTTATAACTTATAATGAATCTGATAAGAGCGCGGAAAAGTTTATATAGAAGTTTCAGAAGAAATGAAGCATGAGTTGTTTTTTAAATTGCATGTTGGTCTTTTAAATACTCGTGGCTAGGAAAATATTTTTATGTTGGTAAAAGAAATTACGTTGTTATCAACACATTACTAAATTTAAATCTAACGAAATAGAAAATAATTTATTGTTGAAATTTAGTATGCAAAAAGTATAACAGAAGAATAATAATCATTAATTTAAACTCAATAAGCTCGATATACATTAAGAAAAATCAAAATTATTGTTTAGAAATTGATTTAGTTAAATTAACCATTTATATTTAACAATTAAAAAAAAATGTCAATAACTGCCTTCAATATAATAGATAACAACAAACGAATAGTTTCACTTGAATTAAGTAAGAATTACTTTGATTAATTTAATCAATTTTTCAGTAAAAAAAATATATTCTCAATAATTATCAAGAATGATTGTTCTTGTGTCGAGAACATGTTTTTAAATAGTATTATTCTTTTCTCTGAGTGTAAATTGAAAATTTCGATTCCAAAACATTAATTAGAATTTTTATACAAAAGCTAATGTCAAAAAACTGAAACAAATAATATTCAATACTTAAAATTTTTATACATCAGTACTAATAGTTAATACTTTTACCTCAGTTATCAAGAATTACTTAGATAAATTCTTAGATTTTTTTACAACGTCCTATTAGCATTTTTAAAAAAATTTTTCCTCTCTTGAGATTATGTTAAGTATTCTTGATACATCTTAAATTTGTAAGTAATTTTAAAGTAATTTCTCTAGAAAGTAATATCCTGCGTACGGCACTCTCTTGTGACACATTATACAGACCCTTTGAGGATGAACTACAAAAAATAATGATAATGATAACAGGCGATTATGTTTTAAAAAGCTCATCTCGCCCTTTTTACTCAATCTAAAAGAAACTAGGGTCTGACGCAGTACCCATTATAAAAAAACAGTCTATTTATGTTGATTTAAATCGCCGTATACAAAATTAACTTTCGCTGCCTTTGAACTCTTCAATAGCAAGCTGAATATTAAAAATTTTCTAGATGGCGAAATCCTTATGCTGTTAATGCATACTATGAATCTTCAACAAATTCAATAGGTAGATATTCAAAGTATTTTTCTATTTTTAATCAGCACGATCCAAGATAAAATTTTAATGATTGTAAATCTTGAATCTGTTTTATGTAAATAAAAGTGATACCACTTGCCATGATGACTGCCTGGTCGTGGTCATGGGAAGGAGGACCAGCTTATTCTGCTCACGCAACTCTAGGTTCCGTAATCGCTCATGAAATTCTTCATGTATTCGATCTTCACCATCGCTTGCCTTTAGATCCCGAGATAAACTTAAAAAATTGGGTTTGGATAACTCCCAAATCTTGGAGTCAACTTGAAAGTAAAATAGAATGTGTAGCGAGGCTTTACGCTAAAAGGTTTTGGAGAAAAGTTCAATTTTACGGCAATGAAGTAGATGTACAGGTAAGTCAAAAGTTTTTTTTCTTGATTTGATTAATTTATAGTTTACAACAAAAAATTTACTATCGATGAATTTTAGTTTGACTGGAATGTTACGAGAAACGAAAACGTTGCTGATATTGGTGCTCTCCAGATTTCTTATCAAACCTGGTATACATTAACAAATGGACGAGATCGAGCTTTGCCAATTTTAGACGCTCTCCGCCCAAGTCAAATGTTTTTTATTAGCGCAGCCCAGGTATGATGAATTCATTAACATTCTACGAAATTTTTCACTTTAATATAATTAAAAAAAGTCCTATCTGGAGTGAATTTCGGTCCGAAGCGGCTAAATCAGTTAATAACCATCCATTTTGAAAATCACTCCGCAAATTTTTTAACAGTGTAGTTACTGATCTACCTAATTATTATTTTCATCATAATTATTATTATTTTTTATCTATAAACTATAACTAACTCGAGTTTTATTTTTAGACTTACTGTACTAACATGACTGCCGAGGCCTATATCCTTTCCGTCGAGCTTGATTATCACACTCCGTCTCCAGAGAGGTATTCTATACCCACTACGCTAATAATTTAACATGTTATACTGTCATTACACAGTTAATATTTTGTAAAATTATCTTCGCTCAAAAATTGGAGTAAAGTTAGATTTAATATTCTTAAAAATATCTAAGAAAAATTCAGCAAAAAAATTTTTTTATAAACTGAAAAATGTATAAAAATAGATCAACTGTTTTCTATAATATATATTTGAATGCGAAGCTCTGCTAAGAGTGATCATTCTGATTTGTCAATTCAAATTTATCTATAAAAAAAATTTGATTTAAATCCCCTGATACTGATAAATTAGCTAGTGTAGCAAGTAACTCTAATACATTTATCTATTTTAGTATGAAAAAAGATAAAGATGCTCAGTTTAAACCTGAGGTTTTCTTCTTTGTAATTCACTGCAAGAAAATGCTATCTTGAATTTTGAAGATGGTTTTTCAAGATTTTATCTCAGTTCTATGCATATAAATTTGTATATACAATCATGATGATATTTACGAACTCACATTTATCATAAACAAGAATCTATTTTTCCACAAATTTTGCAATTTATTCTTACCTCAATCAATTTATTTATACATTTTTCTATTAAATAATTTATATAAATATTCAACAAAAAATTAAAATAAATTCCTAATTATAGAAATTAAATATTTAATATAAATAACTGAAAAAATTTTACTTTTTTAAAATTTCACGGTTCAATCTACTAAAAATAATATTTAGAGTCAATAATTATTAATTTTATATGCATGATCAATTTACCTTACTATTAAAATTTATAATATTAATTAGAAATTCAATACTTACAGAAATAAATTCCACAAAAATTCAAAATAATACAATGTAAACAAGTAACTAATATTTCATTAATCTACCATATATATTTTTAATAATTTGATCATCTCAGTGTATATATATTGTATAAATAAACTAGTAAAATTTATTTGGATATTTAAAAATTTTTCCGAAATTTTATTTTAATTGGTATTTTTTATTTACAGAGTAAACGTTGTTATGATGAATTCGCCAGGCTTTGCCGAAGCTTTTCGTTGTCCACTTGGTTCACGAATGAATCCGCCTAACAAATGCAGCACATGGTGATATACTAAATAAATAAACTATGAATCATCATTTTAAATATTGATGAATCAATTACAAAAAAATTTGGCTCAACTGCGACACTTCCGACGATTTATGTGGGTTTTTATTTATTTGAAATAAAAAAATAAACAAATGCATTAGTTATTGAATTGCCAATATCCATAAAACACCAGTCAAAATAAAAAAAAATAAATCAATCATTGCAATTTATGTTTGCATAATCGTCGGAAAAATTACGTACGTCGTACATTGTGAACGGTAGTTATTAATTAACTGTAAATATTAATACTAATCAATAATATATTATATTACTATAATTATAGTTATTATAAATAATAATTCTGTAAGAGAACAAACAAAAATTTTGAAAAAATTCTAGGCCTTATTGGATGAAGAATTTATTAAAACTACGGATTGTTTAGATTGTTTGGCTTATGCAACTATAATTGTTAATCGCGTGCAAAAAAATAATCTAGCTAAAAATTATTCACAGTCTGAACATTTTTATGCAATATAAATACGACAAATGTTTATTTTATTATTGTTTAAATTTAAATAAGTATAATTATCACTGTTAAAATAATTAATTATATATAAACATTAAGAAAACTGACGCCTATAATATTAACTTCATGCTAATAATTTTAATGTTTATTTTTAAAACTTTATTCTTCATAGAATAGAGAAAAATAATTTAACTGAAAATATTTTCCAGTAAAATTACGAATATTTGTCTGGAAATTTTCTAGTTAGATAATAGTCAATTAATGTGGTAGAAGATGTAATTTCATTAAGAAAATAGATATTTTAATGAATCTTGAAATATTTTAAAAAATGTTTCACTTTTTTTTCGTGTCGAAAAAATTCGACATGTGTACAGTAAATTGTTGTAAGTTATTTTTTTTTTTCATGAGAATGTTTTTGAAAAAAAAAAAAAGAAAAAAAAAAGAAATGATAAATAAGTAATTTTAAAAAAGTGAACCAATAATGAAATTATAAAAATTGGAAGTTCACATTTTTCTAATATGAAAGTATAAATTGTGAAGGAACAAAAAATAACGAATACCACTGTCAATAAAAATTTATTTTTTTATGAAACTTCAATGTCTTGATTGGTTAACTATAAATAAATATTTATTGGAGCGATATCTTGAAATTCATATGCCAAAACAACTGTTACGATTTTTTGAATATTGTCATTCGCTTGCACTAGAGAAAGTAAAAAAAAAAAATGTTTAGTGCTCTTCTTATACAAAGTTTGGTGTCATTGCATTTTTACTCAATACTTTATTATCGAAAATATAGAAGAAAAACTTTACAAAAATTCAATTTTTTGATAAAAATCAATTTTAAATATGGTTTTATTAAATTTTTTATTGAAAAATGTTTAATAATTTTAGGCTGGCATTAAATTATTCTTTTTTTTTGACTTAATAGATATTATGTCTGTCGAACGAATATTAATATTAGTCATATCTTTTTGGCAGTAAATTTTTGAGTACAAAGTAATTATACCAAGCAAAGAATGTTTCAATCTCTACTGAAAACAAATTTATTGTATAAATAATTAAGATAGTTGATAATTCGTCATTTGAAAAAATTATTTTCAATGTGTATATTCATTTTTTAAAAATAACTGGACGTTTGGTAAGAAAATTCAATTATATGAATTATCGATACCAAGAGCAATAATAACTTTAAATTTAATTTTGTGTGATTATTTATAATTTGGTTTGAAAAAATGTCAATAATCCGAGTCAAATTATATAATATGCAATTATAAAAGAGGGCTTTAATATATAACACACGATAAATCGAAATAGAATGACGAGAGTAAATTATAAAAACAAATAAAAATGTTCCAAGTCGTGAAATGAAGACTGTGAACTTACTCGACTAGGTTGTCAAAAAAAAAAAAAAATATTGTGATTGCGGATTTAAATATTGTCTGGAGTAATATAGTAATAAAAAAAAATATTTACTGGGCTCCTTAATTTTGTAACGTTGATACCTTGGATCCGAATTAGAATCTGGTGTGGTATAGAGACAAAATATTTGTTTTAAACGGTGAAAAATTTTTAAAATTTGTTGTGATGTAGCCGAATGTAAAGGAGACAAAAGATAGATGATAATTTGTTTACGAGCAATAAATACTAGTAATTATTATTAAGATAAATGCTTAAGTTTGAAAAATGAAATTGTTTCAATTATTTATTGCAATTATTCCTAAAGAGCATGGTGAGTAGTAATGTTGATGATAAACGTTATATTGTTGAGGGCAAGAATCGTTAACTGTGATAGTCTCTGGCACTGCGCAATTTTGGGAATCCGTCTTAAAACTATCATACTTTGTTGAAATTTTTAATTAATTATAAGATATGTAATTAATTATAGTTAATTAATAACAGATGACAAATAAATTAATTTAAACATTTAAAACGTTGAATTTGATTCTTGATTTTATCAATATTATAATATGTCATGTATAAACAGCTTTATATTGTACAGAAATCAATAAATACCTTTTTATAGAAATAGAAATAAATTTGTTATTATAAATTTTTCAGTAATTCGAAACGGAGATCAGTATTTAATTTTTTGTTTTTTTATTTATATCAATTTACGTTACTTCAAATCTTGCTGATTTGTCATGAACCAGGTGTAGCAGCAGCGTCAAAATCGGGTCTAGATACTGATAAAATCTTAGTTCCAAGCTGTTCTAAGTCATAATTTTTCCAGTTATCCTGGCTGTACAACTTACCAAATCGAAATTACAAGGAAGATCTAAAGAAACAGTAGCATTCTAGTCTCTGATCGTACAAAGTTTCTTATCCCCTAGTTAGAAACTTTTCAACATCACGTATTATCCCCTTTCGGAGAACGGAAATTCCTACAAATCATATGGATCATTCCCACCACGTATTACTTGGAGATAATTGTTGGAAGTGAAGCACTAGTTGCAACTTGTAATCAATGAAACTAAATACCTAACAAGATATTGAGTTAGAATCTGCACAACAATACAAACTATTTTGAGCATCCAAATAATGGTAAATGATGAGAATTTAAAATTATAAAACAACTCGCACTGATAAACTGATGGATAGTAGCAACCTGTAATCATTATGTGACGACCAAAAATTACAAATTATGAATAAAATAACTTTGGCTAAATAATTTTTCGATATTTTTAATTCAATGTAAATAGTTTGGGTGCTTTTGAAATAAATTGAAAAAAACATTTTTCTTATTCTCTTAATTATATAGATTTTAATATTTAAATATACCCTCATTCACACACTAAAAAATAGTAGATTACACTACATGAGAGAAAAACTTTTTTTTTAGTGCATGAACAAATCGAAATAAAGAAATTTTTTCTATCACTAAATTCAAATCTATTTAGAACTACTCCGAAAATTTATTATAATCGCTACTGATAATTTTTTACGAAACCTTATTTCGAATAACACTAATTTACAGGGATCTACATAACCATCACTAGTCTCTAAATTATGTAACCTTATATCGATACTGTGGCACATTAATTTAATCGATGAAGACTATTATTTGCATACAATTAATAATGATATTTCTATCACTAAATCCTGCTTCGTAATTCTGATGTTTAAGTTTTCAGTTCTATAATTCCGTGAAATCGGTTTACTAACGATAGTGGATTAACAAATGTTCAAAACTTATGACGCTTATACTCAACAACCTTTATTTATATGCAACTGGCATGCTTATTAACTCTTGCGCGTACTGATTATTACATTAATATATAATAGGTATTATCATTAAGTATACCGTGGATAATGTGTATATTATAGAAAGACATATATAGAATGGTTAACAAAGCTTCGAGCCCTTATGCTGTTAAATGGAATTATGCGCATGAACAGCATCAATAAACAGTAGTAATCAGTAATACTGATTCGAAAATATACTAACATAATCTAGTTACGATTGCAATTAAATTTCAAAAATCCATGATTCATTCTTGTGGAAAATTTTTTTATGGCCTCATATGTTCATATATGGACACTGTTATGTATTATTATGTAAATTGCTATGAAAATCCTACTTAACACAATATTGCATGAAGGATACATATGGCCATATTAAAAATTTTGATACGGCCGTATACGGTCTGATATGATCATATACGTCCATATATAATTATTCGACCAGTGGTAGTACCTAAAATCTCCGACAGAGGACACATTATGGCTGAATCCTCTGTATTCAAGAGAGTTGAATTTAAAGTGTTGTAAATTCTAATATAAAAATCATTTTTTCTATTTTCTGAGATTTTCTTTCGTTTTTTTCCCACTCATTCTGATATCCTATAAATAATAATGCATAAAACCTCTAACGAAATTCATAACTGTGTAGACCCAAGATCAGGGAACAAGAGCATAACTTTATTGTACAGATATATTGTAAATAAATGTTGTCTATATGTATAAAATCAATAAAAATCTTTGAAATTTTAAAACTTATTCTTTTGACTGCCCTAAGAAGCGTATTGGTTTTTACTGTTTTTAGTTTAATAAACTACTAAAATAACTTTTTTAGAAAAAATAAAAAATTATGATAAATTTATTACTTTATTTTTATATCAACGTTCTAATTAGCAAATTGTCTAACTCTATTCCGAAAATCTTTTATATATAAAAAAAAAAAACAAATGAAAAACTTTTTTTATATCTAAAAATCGATTGAATATCTAATATATGTACAATATTTTTGTCTGGATTACTCAAATAATATTTTTTCGGACCATTACTATCTAAAAATTTAAAAGAATCACCTCCTTAAAAATATGGAGTTGCATAATTTGCTAATTAAAAAGTCGATATATAACCTGATGTGACTTTATTTAACCCATTCAGCCCATATCGGACCATACATGAAAATTGGTGATATACGGCCATATCAGAAATTTTTTTTACGGTTTATCAAAAATTTTATAAAAAATAAAGTTACCTTACATTTAACTTTTGAAACTTTTAATAATAAAAAAATTTTAGTTTGTAATCAATAACATTTCTTACTGTTTATCAACTTGTACGTCATTAGTCATTACTCACATATACTGAGACAGTATAACATATGGCGAAACTAGATATCAAATTACATATGTCTCGTTGTCCATAATAACTTCTTGACAAACGTTATTGAAATCCATGAAAGTAGTTTTTGAAATGAGTTACGTGATATATAATATAAACTTATTTACTTCCTTTGATATTCGAAGTAAAATGAATTAGGTACTTAATTAAGTTAATATCATGAAAAAAAAAGAAAAACTTTCTATGTTCAACTTATATTAGAACTTTCAGGCCTCTAATTGATACGTTTTGAAAAGTTTTGTCTAACAAGAGGGAAAAAATATTTTTCTGAGCTACTTAGTCAGTTATTCTGATTGAAGAGTGTACCAAATAAAAATTACAGGGAAAATCTGTTAAAAAAACTATCACCATAGTCTCTAATCGCGCAAAGTTTCTATTCCGTAGTTACAAAGTTTTAAACATCGGGTATTATCTCTTGGGAAGGAAGAAGGAAGGGGGTCCCTTGGTATCACATGGATCATTCCCACTACTCAGTACTTGGAAGTAATTCAGAAGTGAAGTACAAGTTATTACGTACAGTACGGTAAACGAAGCCAAAAATTTAACAAGATAGTTGTATTAAAAGACTTAAGAGCAAGATAAGAACAATCCGTCGGTAAAATAATGGTTAACGTTGATGAATATGAAGAATTGATGAAGCCTATTATGATAGTAAATCGGATTATATCAGTATGGCCAGTGGAAGAAAATGATGACTCAATTCTATCGCGCATGAGAATTTTTCATCGGATTTTATTGTTTGTTTTACTGATAGTCCAAGCGACTGCCGTAACTGCTGATATTGTTCATCACTGGGGTGATATGAAGGAAGTCACTGAGTGTGCTTTGATAACAACCGCTTTCTATCTTTCTATTCTGCGACTCATAGTTTACACTATCCACGACGGAGATTTACAAATATCTGTTAAAACGATGAGAGAAGATTGGATTCAATACTCTGGAGATGATGAATTAGCACTAAAAGAAAAATGTTTACCGATATTAAAATTAGCTAAGATGTTTATCATGACTGTGGGATCAACAATTCTCTTATTTATGGTGACTCCAATTTTAGAAGTAAGTTAATAGTAAGAAATTTTAATCAACTGTTCCAAGTAATTGAAATTGATTCATGAGTTTTAGTCTTCATCAATCATCTAATACAAGAAGTATTTTCTGACGTATAAAATTCATGGATCAATCAGATAAAAATAATATTTGTATTTTATACGAAAGGATGTGCATTAGGTTAAAGTTCTTGGGATGGAAGAAAAAAAACTTCCCTTTCGCGGTTTTTTTTTCTCAAACCAAACAAATTCGCCAGCATACCAGGGTTTTTACGTGCTAGGAGTCATAGTAGGAGCTTTCGGAGGAAGTACCATTGCTGGAGCAACAACTCTCAATCTTATACTTGTGATGCATGGATCGGCTAAATTCTTGGTTGTGCGGAGGAACATTGAAAATTTGAAAAATGACAAACACAATTCTATCACCATCGCTGATTGTGTAAAACGACATCAGGAAGCGATTTTGTATTTTAATTCAAATTGAAACTCATCGCATTTGTTTTGTAATAAACATAATAATTTCTTTTTTTTTACAGGTTTGCAGAACGAGTTGAGAATACGATTAACATTTTGGTATTGGGACAGTTTGTGATAAGTACTGGTCTCGTATGTTTCGCTGGCTTTCAAATTACGGAAGTAAGCATCGAGATTACAATTGATAGTTATAAAGGTGCGATAAATGTACAATGATTGTAGATGGCCAAAGACAGAGGTCAGTTGATGAAGTACACGTCATTCTTGAATTCAGCGATTTTTGAACTATTTTTATTTAGCTACAGTGGCCAAGAATTATTAACCGAGGTAAGCTAATTGCTCAATAAATCGTTCAATTTTAGCTGTAATAGAGAAAATAGCTTTCACATATGATTTATGTAAAATAATATGGGAATTTTAATCAGAGCGACGCTGTAGGCGAATCCTGTTATTCATCGAACTGGGTTGGAGCTGGTTTTACAAAAAGTATGCAAATAGTAATGATTCGCTCGCTATCTCCGTGTAAAATCACAGCCGCTAAATTTTATGACATGTCTTTGGCTAATTTTTCATCGGTATACATATTTCAATCTATCCGTTATTGTCTTCTCTGCTGTTACTGAGATAATGTATTCATAAGGCATCTTTTAATTTGGTTTTTAGATTCTCAGTTCTTCATTCTCATATTTAACAGTTTTACGGACTATGGAGGTTGAATAAATTTACAAACATAGAAGTTTGTAGAATACAACTGCTCACTTTTAATACTGCAAAAGTGACAAAGAATTTATTCTAAAATTCATAATTGAGTTTTATGAAATTTTTATAGATATTTTTTAACCAATTAACTAGTGCAGTAGTTTTTGTGAATTATGAAAACTTACTCTGGAAAAAAAAAAAGAAAAATTTATGATACATGACAAATATTTTTGATCCAAGAAAATTATTTTGAAGAGAACTTTAGATTTTGATTCAAGAATTGCTTCTATTGTAGCTTGTTTTTTAAGCTTAAGAAATTCTACAACTTCGATCAAGAAAAAATTTGATTTCTAACATATAATCAAATGCTTCAATGAAAATCGCAATTGGTAATACATGGTAGTAAAATGTTCAATACGACTAATATTATGAGCATGATTAGTATAATATTATACTAAAAAATTTCATTTTTGATATGAAATTGTTGGTATTTATTTAATATTAAATGTAATAGACGTTCTAGTTGTTGAAGAAAATAAATAAAGAATGTTTGATTACTTTCAGAGCTGTTGGTATATACTTTATAAAGTAAGTTTAGAATGTGAGAAACACTGGCCATCTGGTGGAAATTGAAATAACTATAAATAGATGCATAATTTTCTGCAATGTTTTGATGAAATTAAGCTTTTTAAAAAATAAAAAACTCGATAATACATTCATATGGAAGAATAATATTGTTAGAACTAAGAAATTATATTTAGTATATAATTACCGGAAATTAGTTTTAAAAAAAGAAATTTTCGGTTGTTCAGAGTGGGGCGGTCCATGAGACGACTTTGGTCTCAGGACCGACTTGAGAGTATTTTCATCATCTAGTACAACACGTGCAGCTATTCGGTGAACTCATATTCGAGTTACCACTCGGCTTGCTTGTATTTACAATTTTAACTTTCAGAGTTATTGTTTAAACTTTAAAAGTGTGAACAAATAAGTTGTTCTGTTGATTCAGTCGTAACTTCTGACAGGTGTTTAGAGATTAAAAAGTTTATTTTCAAAATTATCGAGTGATAAAGTAAAGCGATGTAGAAGTTTTTATTAGCTACTACAGGAGTAACGATGGCTAATATAAAAGTGGCTGTGAGAGTGAGACCAATTTCAAGCAGGTAAGTGATGATATTAAATTTTAGTGGTGCATCAAAAATTCCCTAAGTGGTCAAAGACAAGTAAGTCGGTACATTAATTCGTAATTGGTGAATATTTATTATTCAAATAATTATATCGAGTAAATTAATAGAGTACATTTGTATACCTTAATGGGCTAGAAAATAAGAGAAACACTGAATGCACTGACTCACATGGCTAAGATAAAGATAAAACAACAAACACAGGGGATTCTTACGCTCTAAAATACGAGTCGAGCTATAATTAGAGCACCATTGAAAATAGACTGGAAGTAAAGCCAGTAACAAATGTGGTGACATTAAAATAAGGACTACGATCACTTGACAATTTCTTTGGTCTTAAAAAAAAAAAAAGAAAAAAAAAAAGAGAAAATAAGCTTCAGTAATTTTTAGAACGGTAACTTTTGACACCTGGTTACCATTTTTTATTTTTCATTTTCGGTTTTCATAACAACATTCCGTTCTTTGTATTTGTATGTTTTAAAATAGTAAGTTATGATTATGAGTTATGATTTATAAGTCGAGAGAAGCTCTGATTGATTTACAAGCTGAAACTTATTTTCTGTTTTTCAGCAAAAATTATTACTTATGATTTTATGAGAGAGTAAAAGTATTTTTATTTAAAGATTGTCTCTAGCGAAAGCAGAACTAAATTATTGCGATGGCCCACTAGCGAGTAGTTTAATGACTCCAACATGAATAAGAAGAAACGAATGCTGAGTTTAGAATAACACCCTAGTTTGTGAGCTCGGAAAGATTTGGTTCGTTTATTATGCTAGAGCCGCTTTATACTTACGCCAGCGATGAAAATGTGAAAAGAGAAACCGGTGAAAATGATAAAATAGTAAAATGGAACGAAAGTGAAATAAATTAATTGCTAAGCTCGCTAAATGGCTAATTTTGTACTTGATATAAGATTTATTTTACAGATAATTTAACTAATGATGATGCATATGATTTATACTTTGTCATTCCCATAAAATAATACCGTAGAAGTTTCAAATATCTTTTAAGTTTAAGCTTTCTTATCAATTATTACTACCACTTTAAAGTTATTATGGAAAGAAGTTAACTCTAAAATGAAATCATGATGCGATGCAAGTTAAATTATGTGAATTAAAAAAAATCTTTCATATAAGTTTATAAAATTGACATGTTAATTGACGTCCATATTTCTAGGAAACATAGCAATGGCCCGATCAGGTCATATCAAAAAATTTGTACACGGGAAAAGTATCGCGTTAATGATTAAGTGTTAATGCAATTTTTATTTTTTCTATTACAGAGAAATAAATATAACAGGAGCAGAAATAGTAGTCCACACAGAGCCACAGAAAATTTCTTTGACAAATCTAAAAGTTTCATCGAGCAAGACTGCAGACAGTCGAACTCGGACTAAAAGATATAGTTTTAACTACTGTTTTGACTCTTCGGATCCAACGGCTGAAAATTATGCCAGTCAAGAAAAAATCTATTATACACTTGGGAATCCAGTTATCGACGCTATATTCGTGGGATACAATTCTTGTGTCGTTGCGTATGGTCAAAGTGCGTCTGGAAAAACTTTTACGATGATGGGTGTCAAAGTATGTTCGTACTAAAAATTATTATTTTTCAAATAATAGATTTGTTCAAAAGTTTTTGATGATTTCTCAATTATTGTAGACTTTAAAGTTAAAGTTAATGAAAAAATAATTTGCTTCATCTAGATTTTAAATTAAATTAATAAAAGAAGTGATTATTTTTGCAGGATGATCCAGGTTTAATACCAAGAATCTGCAATGGTTTATTCGTCCGAGCAGCTGATGAAATAGAAAACGGAAAAAAGTTTAACATATTTGTGAGGTAATGATAATTTTACTTAAAAATAAATACACCGGCGTCATAGACATCCAAGACTACATAATAACGATAACTGTGAGAAACTCAATGCTGTTCTCGTGTCGATTTCTGGGTGTTCATGGACACGCACGAATCTTGTAGAACATACTCCGGTGAAAATGTAAAATTATACCTCCCACAATTGAGGAACGAATTGCACTAGAGCTTCAGTAGCTCTTGGCACCTGTTCTCGGTCAAGGTTTCACTATTTCCTCCGTACCATTCATGGTATACTTATCTATACATCTGTTATTATTATTACTATTATTACTCTAACAATTCAAATAAAAATCACTTTGTTTTTTTTATTTGTCGTGTTTTCTTCTCAATCAAAATTACTTTATATCGAGTTTTTATCATTACAAACTTCGTATTGATTGTATCTTCAGTTATAAGCTATAAGAAATGGAAGTATATTTACCGATCTTCATTTACTGTCAGATTATTGGTATTATATCGTGAATAATAAGGTATTTCCATGAATTTATATATATTCTAAGATATGATTAGGTCAAAATATTAATATTACTCTTAATAGATACAAATATTTTTACTAGTACATGTATAAGAAAACTTACAGTATAGATATAAAGGTTCAGCGGAACTATTTTGCTAATTGAAGTTAAGAGAAGAAAGATTATTTTAATTTGATGAGAATATTCACCGTAACGGAATGTAAATGTAGAAAAATATGATAAGAAATTAATTATCATTGAAAATACTAAAAACTTTTAACTTTACACTGAAATAAAAATTCTCATGAATCAAGTTAATTTTTCTTTTCAGTGTACCATATAAATTTTATATTTAATATTTTTCACCATAAATTTTATATTTAACACTTGAATTTTCCGTGAAAATTCATATTTTATCTAACATTTCTGAGATACAGGATCAATAATGTCACTTTAGTTTCAAGTGACAATTGACTAAATAAAATATAACACGGTTTCAAATAGTAAAGATTCTGTGAATTCAAGTAATTTTTAATTCTCTCGATAAACTTTATGGAATTTTGATAATTTTAGCGGCATAGTGGATTTAAAAAGAAATTTTTATCCTTGTGAAATATCGGTTCTTCATTGGTGGCGTAAAAAATGAGTAAATAGTAAAGCTCTAAAAATATTATGAGTATATAATAGTATTGTAAATCAAGTATCAGAGCAAAGAGCATATAGAAGAGAATATATAATAGAGGATGGTGGTGGAATAGTGAGACGCGCGCGAGACCTTTGCGAGGCGTTCCGGTGGCCTCGATGTGTCTAAGCTCACAGTACCTCGTGACTCGCAATCCTAGACGGACGCAAGCTCATTGAACCGTGGTAAGGATTCCCGCTCTTTGCAGTGTATCACGCTCTCATTTTCATCGCAATATATATTCATACTTATTTGCAATGTCCATTTTGATTATTACGCGAACATATGCATGTTTATTAATTTTAACTTTGCCTTCATTGTATAGTAGTTATGAATTCATTTAACAAAACAATTTTATTACTTTAAATATTCATTTGATGCATTGTATTTAGTAATGTAGGATTGTCATAACATGGAGTTGTTTTATGAATAATTAATTCAATACTAATAACATTACTTTGTAACCATTATATATTAGCAAATTCGATTAATTTATAATATGAAAAGTGTAAATATAATTTCATTATAATAAAAATTATTGTGCAAAAGAATTTTTGTTACAAAATAATATATTCCTTAGAAATATATTTTTTGAATAAAAAATATTATGGATAGAATAGTTTGATTAAATAAAATTTTTGAATCCAAATATACTATTGAAAATTTTGGTTAAAACATTGAAACCTTTCACTATTTTAATGTGAATGATTTTTAAGATTTATATTTTTAAAGTTTGTAGGTTTTAGTATTAAAAGATTTTTTTAAAATTAAAGCTACAGATGTACAATGTTTTCGTCTTAGTGATTGCATGTCAAGCATCAGCAGATGGTAAAAATAGTATTTAATGAATTTATGTCTCTGTTCATGGAATAAAAGTTTTGACACAAAATTAACATATTGCTATTTTCTTCCGAAATAATAAACAAAAAAAAGTTTTAGAACTGATGATAATTTTTTCACGCGATAAATACACCAATTTTTCCAAATTTCAATAGTGTACTTACAATAAACTGGGATTAAAATAAAAATCTAATAGCTTCTAAAAATTCATCTAACCACAAAAATAAAAAAACTCGATATTAACGTAACAGAGCCGATTTATTTGATTGCAATAATATTTTTTTTTTTATAGTTTCAAAAATGTATAGAGCTTTATAAAAAAATGTTATTTAGATAAGCTTAATAGACGCTCAAAAAATCATGCGAGAATATTTTTAGTATCACTATATGATTCAAATCTATGTACAAAATATTCTGATAAGTTTTAATTTGTAGTAAATAAAAATGATGATTAATTCTGACGCTTATTTCCTCAAGCTACAGAAAAGAAGGAGAGAAGAATATATTTATAGAAAAATATTATTTGAGGTCTAATATGATCTAAATAAATAAATTTTGAGTGGTATGTGATATGTACGAATAGTTCGCAGGTGATATAGCAGTGTTACTTCCGCGTAACATTACGTACTTATAACTTTAAACTGTTGTTTAACACTCCGAGAGAGCAGTAACAATGAAATAAACTTCTTACGTAACTTGAACTTTTCCAATTGAGTCTAACAAAATGTATACATTTCACTTCATTCACCACTTAATTCATCAACAATTTAGCAACAAAATTCAAACTTGACTGGGTTTAATTATGTATAATTAAACACAAGTATTTACTAATTCTTAATTAAAATTGTAATTTATATTTATTTATTCCAGAACAATATTCTTAAAGATAAAAATGAAATTGGGTTCTAAAAAATTAACAAACTTTGAAGTACGTGACAATGAATATTTGAAGGTAATTAATTACTTAGAAATATTCGAAGACTAATTACTTGGTAATGGTTATCAAAAAACAGATTCTCAAGTTTTAAGTATAAAAAAGTTTTAAAGCTTTTAAGTATACAGAATAATTTATTTTTTAAGTTTAAACGACATTAAATCGTAAAGCGTTGAATACTTTAAAACACTTAGTTCTAGGCAAATTAGCCAGATAAATTTTATTTATATTTCTTTGATGGAAAAATTTTAAAAATCGTGATAGAAAGCTATAAAATTAAAAAAAAAAATATTTTTTACGTTAGATAAGTATAATTTCTTTAACTGAAAATTTATTTTTTATAGTATGGAAATTTAGTAGATGAAATACTGCAAACAGAATTAGATCTCGATCGAAAGTAAATTTTTACTGGCGAAGAGATAGAGATGTTTACAGCTCGAATAAATTTATCCAAAAAAAGTGCAGAATAAAATCGAAAGCTTACAGTTTAGAATTTATGGACCATTAACTAGTTGTAGAAAAGATTTTCAAAGTTTTACCAAAGAAAAAAGTTTCATCTCGACATAGCATTATCACGTGTTTGTTTTCTCACTTATCCGATAGAATATTGTTATGCGTGAAGTTATCTGCGACGTAGAGCGCGCGGATTTGGATTTTATACGCCTGATCTTCGAGTTTAAAGGCAATTTATCGAGAGATAAAAACGTTAGCAATGAATAGAAAAAAAATTTTTTTTATCTAACTTAAATAAAACTTATTCGTATGAGTATGATTATGTATTATAATGAAGACAGATATTAAAATTCTTTTTTTAAAAATTGATAATTTAGATGGTTCATTTCAAAAAATTCTTCAACTGAGAAACCCTAGTCTGGACAATAATTTTTCCTTCCTTCATTGTAAAAGTAACGATGCAGCATAGAGGGGGACAAAAAATTGAAGATTTTTCACTTATGTATAGTAGAAAAATCAAGCATAATATAAGCAGAGGAATAGATAATCGATTAAGCAACGACCAAACATGTCGGTCTAGTAGCTCATATATCTACTGAATGAGGACGTTCGATCAGTTGCACGACTGGAGTGTGCTTGAAAATAAATCACGCTGTGATAAATTTTTATGAATCAACAGATATTTATGACAACCTTCGCGTGGGGATATGATTGTACAAGTTGTTAAATTTGATAACGCATTGAGATTAAATCAAAAAACAAAAATATCTTTTCTACTATTCCAGAGTCATGAACAAAAACTATCATTTGACCATAATACCATGATTATTAAATTATAAATAAATTATTGGTCTATTGGAAAAAAGTTTCAAACTTACCGACCGAGCTTGAAATCGGAATAGCTTTAATTTTACTAACAAAAAATCGATGAGATTTATAATTCCTGACATTAAATTTTGTTTAAAATTGCCGTGGGAGCAGAAACTCTTAACTTAAATTTTAATTTCAATAAATATTTTACTTAGCTTTGAAAGTTTAAAAAGGAATAAGAGCCATATAAAACGAAAAGTACCTTCATAGCAGTGTGCTGTAATATCAATAATAATAATTTTCACAATCGTGTTTTGAATGAATGTAATATTCGAACAATCAATAATGCATTTGACTAGTATTTTACTCCTTTTTCTCCTGTCAAATCACTGTTCCTTCGCGCCGAATCGATTCTTATTTTGTAGGTCTGCACCTAATATCTGTCAGACACGAACCTGGTGTGTTGTACAACCAGTATGCCGTCACATTTATTTTTCTCTCCTCGAATTTACAAAGATTTAAATTACCTCGTCTTGGAAGCATTATTCAGATTATTATTATATTGGACGTTAATAAAAGTAACAGAGTCATCTGTTCCGTAAGATTGTTAACTCAATTCGACAAATTCTTTTCAATGTCAATGTCATTGATAATTTATCGTCTAATTAATCTCAATTAATTTCTCTAAAATGACTTAATTACTCTACTCCTTCAGCGATTTACTCAATGAAATAAATGATTGAGTCGATTCTTTGTACTTTTAAATCAGATTGAAGAAATAAAAATAATTATTTTGAAAAATAGTTATTACAAATGTAGAACAAACATGAAAGAAAGCAATATTGAAAGTCGATACACTTAAATTTCATTGACATTAAGATTGAATGTATAATTTGCGGGATTTACTTTCTTAGATTTGAAGACCGATAATTTTTGGATATGCATGCTCACAATAATTCGTAATATAATCTCATATTTTAGTTGAAAGACAATGTAATCGATTGACCTATAGATATACATCAATCGAAAATTTTATTTCCTTCTGCTTAGCAATTTAGGAAGAATAATAAAAATTTTAACCATGTAAGATGAATTTTTGATCTACATGACATTGGCATTTGGTTATTGAAAAAAAATTAACTCAAAAATCTTTTGATCTAAGAAAATCATTTTGAAGAGTTTCATCGTCCTTAAACAAGACAAAAAATTTTTGAATCAATTGAAATTTTCCTAAAACAATAAAAATTAAACTCCAAAGTGATTTTTTTGATTAATTGTAATATAATTTTTTCTCTCAGTATACTGTGCATTGTTGTGTGCTGAAAAAATTATTATATTTTCAAAAAACTTGGTTTGGATTTTTGATTTTCTATTCTTATGGTGAATTTTTTATTGGGTAGTTATCATAAAAATTATTATTATTTTAAAAAATTTTATAATTGTTAGTATAACAGATAATAAAATAAACTAAATACGAACATAAAAAATGAGATGTCAGTAATTGGTGCTTGATACAATGGAGTCGATAACTTTCCCATCTTTATTATTTCAGTTACCTAGAAGTCTACAATGAACGAGTTAGAGATCTTCTCGAACCGTCAACAAGCCCGAATAACTTAAGAGTTCGTGAGCATCCACGATCAGGTCCTTATGTTCAAGGTATAATTAACTTTTTCTTTTCTTAAATATGATTCTCTGATTAAAACACTCGAAAAGTTGAAGAGTTTTTTAAAAGAATTGGATTTAAAACTAATACGGCTTATGATAGAAAAATCCATTTATGCTTTTTACTATTTAATAAGGTCTCATATTTCTTTTTAATCTTCTTATAAATGACTATAACTATTTATTATTCTAAAAATTCTTTGATCTGTCAGAAAATAAAAAAAAAAAACTATTATGCAAATAAGAAATTCATCTCATTCTTTTTCAATATGAGAGAAAAAGTAAGAGAGTTAGTGGATGTACATTTCGGAGAATAAAAAAAAAACTTGTTCATTAGTGACTCTCTGTTTTATCCTCGCCTTTGCCTAAATTGTATTATATTAATTAAATGAAAAAGACTTGATGGGAAATAAAATGTCTGAAAATTCCAACTACAAATTGACTAAATTTTTCCACTCGTATCAAACACAATTTTCAAACAAAAAAAAAAAATTTATTCAAACTAAAATCACTCACACGTTTATCAATCAAAAGCTCCAGGAATTCCAAACTGAAATCTCCATGTAACCCAAAATTCTTGAAATATTTCACTGTAAAAGCAGAGCACAAAGTAAAATTGTATTTAAATGGACAATTGAATAATACAAATTGATAAAGTAAAATTTTTTTTAAAGGATTAAGCCAACACTCAGTTGAAACTTTGAGTTCATTAATGTCTCGTGTCGAAGAGGGTACAAAAGCCCGTAAAACAGCTTCAACTTTGCAGAATCACACAAGCAGCCGCAGTCACGCATTACTCACACTCTCGTTGGAATCCAGCGATAGTGCGGTTTCCGGACAAGTTATTTTAAAAGCCTCGGGGGCATCACGGAAAACGGATTTTTCTCGTGGCTGTAAATTACACTTGGTCGACCTGGCGGGCAGTGAAAATTCAGCTGCCTGTGCTGGAATAAATCGTCTAAAAGTGAGCAATGCATTTAATATATATGTATTTATATCTATACCTCAAACTCCTATTTATTTAATTAATTTCTATTAATTAAATAAAAAATAAATTTATTTTCGACTATGTAATATTAACAATATATTAGTATTTTTATATTGGTTTAAGTCACAGGAAGGAGCTAATATTAACAAAAGCTTAGTTGCATTGGGTAATGTAATATCTGCATTAGCGGAAAGAAGTTCTACAACTATTAATTCCGGAAGGAAGTTCATCCCCTACAGGGATTCAACTCTCACGTGGTTACTCAAAGATTCTTTGGGTGGAAATGCCACGACAATTATGCTGGCGAGTAAGTTTTTCAACTTTTATTAACCATATTAATTCAATATAATAATAAATTTTATCGTTTCATTTTAATTTATAGGGACGTTTTCTCTGTTATTCATTTGATTGAATAGTAACTTCTGGAAAGTTGTAAATTGTATTAATATAATCCTAATAGAAGTAATTAATTTTCCTTTTTAATTCGATAAAAATTATTTAAACACTTTTCCAGACTTGCTATGATGGGCTGGTTAAAAATCAATAATCATCATAGAGCATATTTCCGGGATCGGTAAATAGTAGAAACAAAAATGGTAGTTGTTGGCTTATCGTATAAATAAAATACAAATAATAATGAGAAATAATGATGATAACAAAAGAATAAAAAGAGGATAAAGAGTAAAGATTAGTAATTTACTCTTTGAATTCATGAACTTTTTTTTTATCATACAAGAAAAAAAGTAGATTACATTGTTTACAAACAAGGTGGAAGGCTTAATATCAAACTCTTGGTAGTATACTGAGACCGAGCAAACACGCGAAGTATTCGATATCAAGTTTTCCATTCTATATTTAACATTTATAACAATATATTTTGCAATTTTAAAATTTTAAATCAGTATCGTAATAAAAAATAACTAATCAATAATAAACTATTGGCTTAAATTATAAATTTGCATTAACATCGTGTTATTACTATAGCAGTTGTAATTTTTACAAATTATACCAATTATTATAAATTGCTAAAGTATACGTATAGTTGTAATTCAATATTTCAACAAATCAATATGATATATATACTATATTGTAGAAAAATTTTTATATGGCACGAAAAAAAAATTAGCAGTAGTTACAGTTGCGAGCTAAGTAGTAAATACACTTCATAATTGCGTAGCAATTGTAGTTTAAAGTAATAAAAATATCTGTGTAAAATAATGATAAAATAAATCATTTAAGATGTGTAATAAGAATATTGATTTAAAGATAAATTTTTAACGAAAAAATAATGGATAATTTTCATCATGTAATTTAATTTTACAGCGATATCGCCCGCTAGTGGAAGCTATAACGAAACATCACACACTTTACGGTTCGCACAAAGGGCACAAAGCGTTATTAACAAACCAGTTATTAACGAGGATCCGGTAGCTAAGATCATACGTGAGCTTCAGTCAGAAGTATCACGACTCAAAGCTCTTCTTGCTGAGAAGGTATCGGATTTTTTACACAAATTATACTATACTGTTATATAAAATAATATCTCATTGCTTAAGCATATAATTAATTTTGAATTAAATTGAATTAAACTAATTGAATGAATTGTTTTACAGAATGATCCGCGAACTGATTGCAAGTCATTGTGCATCTGTCAAAGGAATCTTGATCAGATAGCAGAGCAAACAAATTTAAATACCAGATGTGTAGCAACGTCAACACCACTATCAACAGGGAAATTAAATTCACTCTCAAGATTATCTTATCCTTTGAGAAGATACAGTTTTGATGATGGTTTGAGATTAAGGTGTGATTCATTAAACGCGTTAAGACAATTCGGATCGTTAGAGTTTGTTCCTGCCGCAAATAATTCGAAAACTCTGCGAGTTTCGGCAAGTTATAATAGAGCTAGAGTATCCAAATTAACTGATGAAGATGACGATGATAAAGTCGATGAGCCGGTATTTGTGGATATACCGACTTTGGTTGCTGTACTCATTAAACCTGATACTAGTGTTCAAGTAGACACTCATCAAATAGAGGAAATTTCAAGCGATAGTGCACTTGAAGATACTGTCGATACTGAGTTTAATCGGGACATTGAACATCACTTTGCGAATTTAGTCAATGTTCCTGTCGAAAATGATTCAAATGATTCTATCAAATCTCTGCCAATATTAAAAGAAAATGAACAACCTCCACTTGATACACGATATCCGAATTTACAAATTCTTACTGATAAATCGTTAAATGACGATGATAAGTTTCAGAAACAGTATTCAGTGAGTTCAAATTTTGAAGCGCAAGTGTCCTTAGAAAAGTCAATTTCTAATACTGCGGACAATGTGCCACAGGATTCTGGTGTGCTTCAAATCTCAACAATCGATTCTGAAGCCCAGGCTGATTTTGAAGTAGAAGAGCCTAAGAAAATAATTAGAATTGAAGATGATAATCTCAATGATAGTCTTAAAGAAGACAACGAAATTGTTAACAAAATCTTGGAAAATCGAAAAGAACTTCAAAACCAAAAACTTTGTTTGCAAAGACACCAAAATACTGATGGACTAAAGCGTAAATCAAGCAAGGACAGCAGCTGTAATAGCTCCAAAGACGAACAGATATTTATATCTGGAATTTCAAGAGATTCTTTTGGTCGAAAAGATTCAATTGACCCAGAGCAACCACAACCGAGGCCACATACGATAATACAACGCGCACGTAGGGCTGACATAGTAGCCGCGGTTACTGAGAGACTCTACTCGAGCAAGAAAACTACTGAAGACAGTAATACGGCATCGACGCCCACCTTGGATATTCGCTCACCGGAAAGTACAGAAGTAAAATTAGCCTCGGTGACGAGGATGCGACTTCAAGAAATCTCAAGAAAAATGTTGGCCAAACGCAGACGTATTTGTGTTGACACTCAAACAGATATTTCTTCTACTGTCCGTGTACGAGAAATAGGAATTTCAGTAAAAGAACCTAAAGTCGTTCGCAAAGACGTTGCTGTTCTCACTGATCGTCACGAAGACTTTGATAAATTGCTGCCATGCAGTACGCCTGTGGTACGAATAAAGGAAATGTCAACTTCTACCACAGAATCGCCAGTTCCTAAACCGATTATTCTGCTCAAAGATGCTTGTAGTTTAACAGATGATTACAGTTATGACTACGATACTATTTATTCACTTCAACCAGATTCGGGTATTGTGTCGGATGATACTCATACATACGCCGAAAGCAACTTGTCCAGTACAGGCATATCAGACTTCTGTTCTGACCTTGAAAAACGACCGGTTGATGTTAAATTAAGTGATAGTTCAGCAAATACAAACATTGTTGAAGAAATAATTGACAGTTGTGCTCAAACCACTTATGAACACTCGCACCACTATGAAGTACCAAACGATAAGTGCTGTACTTCAAAGCAATGCGGGGATAATTCAATTAAGCAAGTGAGTGGTAAAAAAACCGCAGATTGCTGCCGTCCCATTTCAGTAACTCCCCGTCCTTGCAAGCCACCAGTTGTTACAGCTGGACATTGTCATTCTACAGAAACTGTTGCTGATACACACAAATGTGCTCAAGAATCTTCTTGCAAATCTTCGTGTTACAAAGAAGATCATGATAAAAATATCATTTCTATCTCGGTACCTGATACTATTAATATTACTATTGAGTCTTCAAATATTTCAGAATCAAAGCTTAGGCTATTTGATCACAATAAAGTGTTGAAATTAAATAATGCAGAGGTTCAAACTGATAAGAGAGATTCTAATGAAATAGGCACGCTGACAGATATTAATATTAGTGGAATAAGTGTTAAAGATTCGTGGACAAATGCGCGAAACAGTCACGATACTAAAACATTTAGGATTGAAAATATATTCAAAGATCCACACGACATTGCCAAATCTTCGAAAAGTTATGATTATTCTGACGGAACTAATTATTCTATTATTTATCCTAGAACTACTCAATTCACAGAAACTAAAACGAAAAATGATGCTTACGATAGCTACAAGACAACGTTGAGCTCATTAGAGTCGCGAAGAAAGTCGTTGACAAGTGAATGGCTCAGAAATCGCAATACTTGGTCGTCTCAAAAATATCACAGAAGCTTTGATAATGAAAATAATACAGAAACAATTTCTTTGCCTTCAGAGAATTCTTATGACTCGATAGTAATAAAGCAGTTGAAAGAAAATCCGGAAATACTTTCATGGAAAGATGTGTGTGAAGACAAAAAAAGTTTGAATGGTTTAACAGTATCAGAATGCTTGAAAAGTGATGACAATCCGTGTTATATCAAAAAAATTGGGCGTAGTTATAGAGATATTTATGAACAAGAGGTGAATTTTTCTGATGATAGTCTTGATTCAAAAGAGCGACAAAAAAATTTAATTGATGATGAAATTACAGAATCGGAAATGAATAGCAGAATCAAAGATAACTTTAATGATAATGGGTGTCAACCGGATATTGTTGTACATGCAAAAAAGGAAATTATTGATCCACTGGCATTTTCTGATAATAATACTCTTGATGATTTTGATGACAAGTATATTGAGTTACCTAAAAAAATAGGGATACGATTGAATGAAATACCTAGACAGAGAATAAAATCAATTTTTTACAGCGTTCCTTTGATACCGCTTGTTTTAGCTGAAAATGGAATTGAACAATCTGAAGATAGCACTAAAAATTTAAAAGCTACTGCTTCGCCGAAATCAATTATCAAGAATAATATTAATGTACCAAAGACACCGCGGTCTGTAAATATTAGTACAAATGAATCTCGACTGGAATCTGATTACAAAAAAGTAAGCTTTGTTGAATCCGAAAATTTTTCAATAAATAGCGAAGATGTTAAACAGAAAACTACACGTATTAAAAATTCTTGTGAAGAAGAAAAACGAAATCTTCTTGAAGAATATCTCGAAGAAGCGATAGTTTTTATGCGGAACATTAATTCAATAAATTCGGATGAAAAATCTGGTACGCTAACATTTAGACGTGAAAATAATGTCGAGACCAAAATTTATGAACCAAAGAATAAAAGAGTAATTGATCATCGTTATACAACAGATGATTTAGATTTGAAAGATAGTCGTTACGAAGAAAAATGTTGTGGTAATTCGGGAAAGTTAGACCGACTTTTGAAATTCAATAAATCTGCTGAGACTAAATCGCATTTAGCCAAATTCAGTTCAGATAATGTAAATAGTAGTAATAGTTGGTCATCGTGTTCAAGATTACGAAGTTTTTCAAGTGTTGATGATCTTAATTGGGACCACAAGCTTAAAAACAACGTTTATTCTAGAAGTGATTGTAACAGTAAATTTAGCCAAGTAATTGAAGATGACAAATACTTTTATCAGTTACATAGTGCAGGTGCCAATAAAGTTTATACAAATATTGACAGTGCGAGAGCAGTAAATACCGATTTTGAGAGCTATTCTCAAGGGAGAATACGGAGTAGTGCACCTAAAATAAAAAAACGCAGTCGTTCGGAACTTTCAATGAGACCTAAAACGGGAGATTGTAGTTTTAGTAAAAAAGTTGTAACTTTTGATGAAAATACTTTACATACGCACAAAAAGTTGATGAATAATGAAAGTGCCCTTATCGCTAAAGGAAGAAAATCACTAGCGAATCCACGTTGTAGCCTATCTAAATATGACTCTTCAAATGAAAATTCAAGTTCTAATGAAGCGCTCGCCAACTTCATGGAATCCATCGACGAAGCATCGAGATTTAAAGATAAAATTAAATTTCCTTGCAGTCCGCGGTTGAAATTTTTACAATTACTCAGCGAGAGGCAGAAAATCGTAAAAGATAGTCGTAATACCAGTATTTCGTGAGCTGGTTTATTAAAAGTGTACTTTGCATGCGAATGATCTAATTTTCTTACAGCGAACTAGATCTTCTCGTAATCATGAACATTTTAAATAATTGGTTTAAGATGTTAAAAAATAATGCAGCTGAAATCAACTTAACTAGTAATTGTGTAATATACTACATTGAACTAATAAATATCAAAAATAATTGTATCATTGTTTATAAGTAAATTAAAATGGAAAATAATTTAGAATAAATAAGGTGAAATATATTGTATACACAAATTTGTAAAATACATAAAATATTCAATTCTTCGTATTGAATCAGTATATACTTATATTTTTATATACTAATTAAATTGGTAGCAATTATAAAACTAAGTACCAAAGATCTTTATATTTAAAAATGTATGTAAAATTAAGAGCTTGTTGGAAAAATATATCTTATAGAAAATAATTTAAAAATAATAATAATTATTATAATAAATCAGTAAAGTTACAGTTACTTAAAAAATTCTTTAGACTAAAAAAAATAATTAAGCCATTGTAGATTTGCGACGTTACGTCTCTGTTTATTGAGACTTCATCAAGCACTGAAAATAAAAATAATACCAAGATATAATAAACATATACATGTTATTATTGTTACAATATAAAATAAACATCAGTAACTGACCTTAACGCGTTGAATTGCGAGAAAGGTTCAATAGACAGAGACGAAATGTCGCAAATCAACAATGGTCTGATTGTCTTTCGCCCTGAAGAATTTTCAAGTACCTGTAATTCTACTTTATTATTTAATATATCTGGATCTAACTTTAAAGAAAATATATTAATAATATTTATTGTTTATAATTACGTACATTTTATTGTAAGACAAAAATTACGATAAAATAATAGTCTAATTTAAAAACTATACGTTGTATCAATTTTTCTACAAGCATTATCTTTTTTGCTAGTAGTAACGTAACAATACTGTAAGTAAAAAACACAGTAAAAAAAATTATCTTGCACGAGGTAACAAATATAAAAAAAATATGTATCTTATTTATTAATAAAGACCTAATTTTTATAAAAAGAAAAGTATTTTTTTAAATCGATAGGCTTTTAAGCTTGAATGGTTAATTTTGAAATGCACCCGTAAAGATGATGATAATTTAAAGACACACGAGAATTTTCGAGTAACAAGATGTCAATCATATAAATTCAACAGAAAATGAGTTAATCTGGGTTTCTGATGAGCGGGTCTAATGTGAACCCGCCTCGAACTCGAAAACCTGTTCACTTTTGAAGGAACAGGTGTTTCCTTCCAATTACTCCAAGGGCTACCATAATTTAGTTTTTTAGATCTATTTGTTTTATACCTGGACTAAATAAGACACCACTGTCTAATTCATCATCGGGTGGAGAGTAGCGTGCAGAAAAGGAATCATCTGTAATATATACCCTAAACTGGAAGAGAGTAATTACTTTAATTACATCGTAGCAACCAGCTCCTCGTAATGAAGCCATTAGTAGGAATGCATTTAGCTGGCTCTCTGGCACGTACACAGCATTTGCGCTTTGTTTACTGCATTAAATTTTGTTGAATCAAGGTGGATCCTCTATTTCATTAGAATCATTAATGCAAAGTAAACAAAAAAAAAAATAATGACCTACTGTCGAATTAAAGTCCAAATGTAATAACACCGGTCTTAAATGCCAAGACTTAATTCGTGAATACTAATTTTTTATAGTTTAGTCGGCACATATTTTAGAGCTTGTTAATTTTTGTGGTTGTTGTTGATTCCTTTTAGTAGCCGAGGAAACATAATTTATATTTAATTGCTAAGAGCTCGAAATTATTTTATTAATGATATTTATAGTATGATATTTAAACTTTTGAGTTTACGAGGAGTTTTTTTTTCCTATAAATAACTCTAATAATTATTTTGTAATTTATTATATTATTTTGAGGAAGTGGAAGGTTTTTTGTAACCGGTTTTGGCATTAGATGGCTAGTATAAAAACTAATTATAGTTGAAAATTTTTTTGTAGTCTTTTAATGATGAACTTTTTTTTAGAAATGTAATACTTAAGTTCGTAAGGTACTAATGATTATTATTGAAAAAAAAAATTCGTTTATTTTTTAAAACTCTTGAAATTTTTAGAAAACTATAAAAAATTCATTATTTTCGACAGGCATATTTTCGAACAATATAAAAAAATATAATAAAAATGATAATGATTTATTACAAGAGCTGGTAGAGACTGATAACTCTAGACAAATAGAATCAAGATTATGGTTGCCGTAGATTACCGAGGGTTTGTTGTCTTTAATAAAGGGGAAATTAAAAAATATTATTTATATTATTGGCATTTGATGAATGATAAACTACTGTATTAAAATTCACCTCACGTTCTGTATACAAGTGGCGTATAGAGTATGATTAATTCACGCTGATTGAGTTTCCATAGATATATTGATTGTTCGGAAAGTCGGTCACTGCAATGCAGCAAACAATTCAATTCATGGCTATTTGCATACTGCGAATCATTTTTAATTATACTTAAAAAGATATTATATTTTATGTTCAATATAATCCCGATAAATTGAGCTCCCGGAATTATCTCATCAAATCCCCATTTTCACAACCCTGGTTCGATCATCGATTGTTACCATTTATTCCAATTCTAATGAAAACTGTTCAATTTCAATGAGAACTCTTTAATTTCATTTTAAATAAATAAATTTATTGATTTATGCATATCCATATTTATTTTCATTTTCATCCGTCGCTGATCATTCATTGTTTTACTCAACGGATTGTGTCTTTGTTTATAAAACGTGATTCAATGCTCAATTACAATAATGAAGGACATTTAGTTACAGTTCTCGGCATTTAAAATGTCATATCAAAACATCTTAATAATTTTTTTACGTAACATTCACAATGACAAAAAATTTTTCTTCATTATTTATATCATCCAACAATACTCTTTTTTAAATTTATTAATTTATCTGTCAGATTATTTAAAAATTTTCTTTTCTCTGGATTTTAATTCTACAAAAGCGATTTTTCAAATAACTGCAGAATAAAAACATTTTAATAAAAAAAACATCAAAGGAAACTGGAAGCATTTATTAAAAATTCCAGGGCTTTGTTAACGTTTCGCCATAAAATTTATTTAATATTTTTATTGAAAAGAATTTTTTTACTCAATAGAAATTATTAATAAGAAATAAAAATATGAGTTTATTGACAATATTGAAAGATTATTTATTTTTTACAGAAAAATCATTGAAAAAGCGTTAAATTTAAAATTTATTTTTCATCGGAAAATAAATTCACAATAAAATACGAGGTAAAATCATATTGATATTTAATATAACTTTTTACAGCATTGAGTATAAAATTTAAGAGGTCTGTTTTTCCAATTGCTCGGTAGCATTTTTTAACCCAGCAATGTAATTTTTTCCAGATTCATATAGTTCTTGACCATTTTCCACTCCCTGTTTGGCTGTTTCTTGAGCAGAGTCCATAATTTCTTGCAATTTATTTCGAGCTGATTCAATAGCTTTGCTTGCAGTCTCTTGAGCGTACTCTAAGGCCTCTTGCGCTCGCTCCTTGAACGTATCAAATGCCTCTTGTGCTTTTTCCGCTATAGTTTGTTCTGGTAATGGTGCACTCTATAAAGTAATTATTCTGTACAGGATAAAACGCACCTTCTTCACTTTAACGAGTAAATAAATTAATTCAAATAGACACCTCATTTTACAGTGTAAAAAACAATTTAAACTATTTTGCTTTTTCCGATTGAAAAACTTTTTAATAAATTAATACTCACCTGAACGAGAAGAAAACTCATCAAAGATAAAATAACTATTGTTGTTTTCATCTTGTGCCGATTGGTCTGGGTAGCTCGCTATACCAAGATATACTGACGCACAATAAATCGAGTTTTATACCAAAAGGATGTATTGCACAACTTCTACGCGATTTTGTTATATATTTACAAATTTTTTTTGTTATGTAAGAGGCGTTAATAAGCAATTATATAAATTATCCTCGACATATCTCGTGCATCATAAAATGTTCTAGACATGAATGCTTGGTTACTCATAACATAATTTAGCCATCATTAACTATCTAAACCTTGGAATTTTTTTTTTATTTCAATAATCGAATTTTATTTAAAAAAAAAAAAGCTTTTTTTATAAAATTGTATGTTTTATTTTTTTTTTTTTTTTTAATTATATTGACTCACTTATAAAAAATCTTTAATTGTCAATTGATACCAACACAATATTTTTCGTATGAATAATTAAAAATTATAGAATTTTATTTTTAAAAAATCAATACTCATCGATATCCTACATTTGTCAAAGTCTCATTTTATTTAGTAAAACAAAGTTCCAAACATCCAAGGGCTTAACTTTCAACTATTTTGTTTCAAAAGCATCAAAAAGGTTCTAGGAAAAAAATTGACGTAACAAGGGCACGGGATTTTAACGGGAATTCGGGTCTGATGGACACCAACATTCTACTTTCCTTCGAAGGACACGGAAAAAATTTTGCTCTGAATTATTCCATTTAAACAATTTCCAATACCGACAAAATTAATTAAACTTATAAATATCAAATCGCAGAGATTTAATTTAAATTAATTATTTTAATTAAAAACTAAAAAACCTTGTAGTTAAATTAATTAAAATGTTGTATCGATCGTTTACAGGTGAGTAAAAGAATTTAATTGATACCGCAATTAAAAATTAATTTGATATAGTATAAATAACTGAGTAATTAAAGTGGAATTTCATTTCTATCTTCTTTATTAAAATTCGATTATTATCATAATAATTTTAGTTAGTTGTAATAATGAAATAAATTTTGCAAAAAGAGAAACATGATCTAAAAATTTGACTTAAAATTATTTTTAGTATTACACAGTACCGAATATAAATGAAGATGTATGGTGAATTATTTAACCCTTAATTTAAGTGATAAGAACAGATAAGAGTATATGCAAAGTTTGAAGTCTACAAATTACGTTATAGTGTCAAAATTAATCGTCGGAACAAAATTAGTGCTCTATCTTATGCATAAGTCATGTTTCAAATTCAGCAATTAAATTACTGAAGTATAAACATAGTTGAACGCTAACTCATTTATATACTTAGGTTTACGCATTGTACTTGAATGCGTGGGAACACATAGGTTGGTATATACCTATATATATATATATATATATATATATGTGTAGAATAGTATTATATATAGACCAAGAATATACATATAGGATGTTACAGCTAACATTAAAGCTATTGTCACTGGATAAATTGAATATAAAAAGAGACGAGAAAAAGTATGTAAAGAGAAGGATTTCTGAAATCTCTCTAGTCTGTGCGGTTCGCTGTGTTTTGTCTGCGACCCTACACTACATTAGTATGGTATAGAGACTACCTGGGTATTCCCTTCACTATTAAACAAGTATAGCGACAAACCCAGAGAGATCTCGTCACGCGCAAGCAACCGTAAAGCGGTACTAATTTCATCGGATGAATTCCTTGAATATACACCGCACGTACATGTATTATATATATTATGAGGAAAAACTACCATGAATTTTTGACGTACTATAAAGTTACGCAGGATTTTATAACAATAACAGAATCCACCAGTGTCAATGTCGACGTCGATGAGAAAAATGATGGATTAAAAAGTACAATAAGATAAAATAAAAAAAGCGCACAAGCACAAGACTGATTTAGCTTCATTCAAAGGTAAAATGTGTGTTACCTTTTTAAAGATATATGTATATTTTATTCATCAAATAAATCTGATTCAGAGTTTTATTACCGTAAATGTTGAAACTAATTTCAAACAAGCTTGATAATTATATATTTTTCGGGATTCGGTCAATAAAAGCCACGGATTAAATATCATTCACATTTATGTTAAATTATAGAGGACTCGCGTAATCACATGTTTGCCATTTTATTAAACTCGTGTCAGTGCTTTTACAACGTAAAAAAATTAAACGATCAACAATGAAAAAAATAAAGCTTTCTCTGTAAGCCTTAATAAACATTTCAGGGAATTAATCCAGGGCTCTTATTGAAAAATCCTTTGAGAGAAAATCGATGAAAGTAGCTCGTTATTTCATTCATTATCTCTCATTTGCACGAGGCTTTATTGAAATAACTGAAATAATAAACTATATTTTGCATAATGATAATCGATAATGCAGCTTTGATGTTTGTTTGTTATATTTTGATACAGTTATTTGAGTTTAATTTTTTAAATTAATTTTACACGGCTGTTATTGGCGAAACTAATTCCCCGAGGTTGTTTATCTGTAGACTTGATCAAGTCATTTCACTAGAAAATGGGTGTAGAAAATTTAATTGCCGTCCATTAAGCATTACGTGTGCTACCAAGTTGTAAAAGATATTTACATAAATATATAAACTTTTTGACTAATGGTTTTTTTATAACCTGCTCGACTAATTGAAACAACGACAAAAACTACTTAGATTTGAACATTAAGTTTTTTTTACAAAACAAATTTTACTTGAAAAATAAATTACAGCATAGATATTATATTTTTGCTTTGAAATTTTATCAAATTTGATTTCTTTCATTTATTGACATAAATTCAAATACCAAGAATATTTTTAAATAAAAAAAATGATCTAAATTCTTATATATTGTCATTGTTGTCCAAATTTAAAAAAAAAATTGTTTAAACGAATTACTTTTTAAAAAATGTAATATATTTTGAAATTTATACCTGCATATAGCACCTACATAATATTTTTGCTGTAATAAATTTTAATAAAATAAACAGGATTATTTACCTGGTGGTTTGATAAAATCTCAGTCACAATAAAATACTATTACACAAATAATAACACAAAGACTTATCTACACCCAACAGTTATAAGTAATTTGATATGATTGCACAAACCGTTTGATGCTATTATTCCGGTCTGCAGTCATTGAGTGAAACCGAGCAGCAGTAATTGATCAAAAACTTACCATTTATTGCTGTTATATCCTTTCCACGAATAACTTTGATCTCTAATGTGTTCAGTGAGCTTATTTACTTATTTTGAGCCAGCCATTACTTTTTCCGCTGAAAATAAAAAATATTATTTTACTTTAACGTTTTCAATATTTCGTAATTATAAATAGATTACTCACTATAGATATACATAGACATATATCGTACACAAAAGTTTCTATTCAACTCGAGTTATTTCGACTGTCGACTGGTGAAAGCTTTGATTAAAAATACGGAATTTGTTATACACACAAATGACGTGTAGCGGTTTTGAATTTTTGTTGGGTTATCAAAACCTTCTCAATCTCGAGTGACATAATAACATAAGATAGCCAGGTAAGTTGTTTGAAGAGATCAAAATAAGATCCTCAGCAAAAAAATTTCGATCTAGATTGTGTAGTCTTTACGAACAGTTGTGACAGATGCGGGATTATATAAATCGTACCCAGACTAGTTATTCTTTTATACTGTACACAACTTTTATAAGAAGTACAAATACAATGTCATTTCATACAAGAATAAAAGTCTCTTGTATAAATAATAAAAATATTCTGTCACTGATGCGTACGCAGACAAAGCATTTCGAATATTCAATAGCTGCATATAAAAATAGTCTTTAGTTTTTATTTTTATACCCACCATTCAACAATACAACGTTTGATAACGGTTCTTTTAAAAAAGTAATTAAATTTTATATTAAATTTCGAATTTATTCAAAAGTTTTTATTTTTTATTATTTAGCGATATTGAAAAATTTTTTTCGTTTCTCTTTTATTAATATCTCGCTATGAAATCGTCGTATTGTTATTCCTCTTTGTTGTTATACCAGTAAAATAATATCTCATTAATTACCTGGAATACTGGAAAACAATGTGTTCATTTCAATAGAATAGTTTGCTAGTTTTTAATACTTTTTTTTTTTCTATTCTGCTGTCAGTGAAACCGAGGCAGAACTCTTTGATATTTTGGTATATCGGATAAAAAGAATCCTTTCCTTTGTTAGAAAACAAACAGTGGAGCATTATTTCTCGTTAATATGTCACACTTTGAGAGCATGTAGTTCAATAACAGTATTACCGAGATCAAATATTTGTTCGATTGTTAATTCTGCAGATTTATAAATATATACATCGAGAAGCCAAATGTAACAGTGGATTTATAAATATCGGTATCTATAGACGAGAATGAATCAAATGTGGATATATAATATCTTATCCACGGTTAAGATTTACTAAAAAGGTAAATCTTTCTTCTTTACACTCTCGTTTTATTTAGAACCCGCATCTCGATTCGTTTCTTTTTCCATTGTCCACCGCAAAAGGTAGTCGAGGAGGCTGTATAATCGCATTGAGATTTTTCGCCCGTGTCCGACTTGTGAATTACATCAGAAACCGACGAAACGACGCCTCTGGTTTTCTCCCTTTAGTTTCCACCTTTCTTATTCTTATTTCCATTTTTATAACCACAAACTATTCCAACGTGGTTAAATCGTGCGAGAATAGAACTCCAAATTTGTTAGTTTTTTTTTTTCTCTCTTCCTATATTCACCACTTTCAAATGATATTCTTTCCGGCCCCGGAGATACGCCCGAATAATTTTTTTTTTATTTTTTATTGAAAAACACCACCAGATGTTATGCAGTCTACTTTCGTTATAAGTCCTATTGGTGTCTCTCTCATATTAACACGAGTCTGGTTAAAAAAAAAAAGATAACAAATAGGACTCGTAACGAGACTCGACTGTTGAAAATAATAATCGAATAAAAAGTAAACCAATCAGGGAATTTTTTGTTGAAAAAAATTAATCAATGGTCGAAATGAATTCACTTGGCAGTTGGTTTAATATTTGGTCAATAGAGAATGTGTCTAGGTGGACAGTGAACATTCAAATATTAATAACAAATACAATAAATATTAAAAATAAATATAGAGTTTTAATCTATTAGTCCTGTTGAACGTTTGAATAATTTAATTAAAACGACAAATAAAAATAAAAATACAATGAATTTATTTAGAACATCGACGAATAGCCGACTTGGAATTTAATTAATAGTAGATAGTGGCCTGTACAATTCCCTCGGACAACTATCTTCTATCTCATTCCGCACTCGCTGTTGTTTGAAAGGAATATTCGAGGATAATAAAAATATAGTTTTTTACTGACGAAAAATTTCTACTCCAGCTTAAACTTTTGTGCTTTTTAAATTCAAATATATTTATTACCAGGATGAAAATATTTAAATATTTATTGTTGAAAATAAAAAAGAGATTAATAAAATAATAATATAACAGATATAAATAATGAGTGAATTTATAGACTGAGTTTTCCATGAATATTTTAAATATTTATAAGTATTACAGACAAAAAAATTTTTTAGGGATTCTTAATCCCGCTATATGTATACCAGACTAATAATAATAACTCGAAAAAGAGTAAGGTGTAATTTGGTGTCTTGATTGCATTCTATATTTAAATCATAAAAAGTTTGACCGCAGGCATTTAATGTTAGGAAAATTGCTGTTCAAACTTTAGCAACTTTCTAGAATGCTGGACCACTTACCAGAGTATGGATATTTTCTCACCACCCCGCGGCGTTTCATCATAAAAAAAGTTTCCGTATATACACCACACCTGACTCTAAAGTTTTGTGTACTCATAGATATATATTATATTATCGTATATACACAGTATATATAAAATATATATAGTGAACTATAGATGTATATAAATGCGGCGACATCAATGACAAATATCTAACCCTAATTCAGTACTACGGCACAATAATGTTACTTTTGTACGGTCGGTTTCTTTTGAGCATTTCCGTATTGAAAAAAATATAAAAAAACCTGTGGATTCAGATAATGGTCCAGGGGATGTATTTCTTTTTTACACCAAAAACGCTGATAGTTCAAAGAGCGCCGTACGTGTTCTTGGTGTCACTAGGCTCTACAATTGAACATGTTTTACTGAATAAATGTAAACTTTTGACAAATAACTTAAAAATATGCTACTAGATACCTAGAAAACTGTAGCACCACTCTAGACAGTATATGAGATTTATTTATGTAGTTAAATTCCAATTTTCTATACAGTAAATATTTATTCAATCACTTTTTAAGAGCCAATTTAATCCAACAATCATTTCATTTGTTTTCAATAAAATTACAAAGTTTTTCCGCAGGCACTTAGGGTGTAAATAGATTATCTGGTCTGGACCAACGAATTTTTTAGAATTTTCGATGTACAGAAATATTGAGTTGCTTTATTTATTCAAATTTAAAATGTAATTCCATTATTTCGTTTTTTAGATTTATTAAATGTAATGTTAATATTTAAATAAATGTAGAGTGAAATACGGGATCAAAATTTATATAGATCGAAATTATTCCTTGTCAAATTACATTGAAATTTAAAATAAAGACGTTCGTTTACTCAGATATTCTATAATAATATATTTCAAATGTGAATGACACACGGTTGTTCATAATTTCATAACTCTACCGGATACCGAAAATTTCAGTTAAATTATGTCACTTTAACTTCAGATACTACTTAATTCATGAAATATTTCCTTTGCAAGAAAAAGTTATACAAAAAAAGAACATGCTGCGACAGAAATCTCTATATCTTTCTACCATTTATAGCTAATGAATTTTTATCTCAGAGTGCTTAACCCAGGAGTACTCAAATAAACGATATTGAAATTTGGATCAATTAACTCCTGGAATTATTGATTTATTGACACCGGATGTCAAGTAAGTTTGAAATAACAGAAGTATAATTTATTAATACCAATATATTTTAGAGTTTATTGACTGACAAGACAGAGAATAGTATTAAGCAATACCGATATTGAATATATGATGAAGTTAATTTTCACTGTAAGTATTCACAGGAAGTTTGTTAATTAAGTATTAATTAATTAGAAGGTGAATTGATACGAAATTGAACGACAATAACAAGATAGCTTGCAATAGTGCCAACAATCTAAAAAAAAAATTGATTGTAAAAATAAGTTTGTCTTTTGTAATCAATGATAAAGAATTTAATTATTCTCTTACCATTAACAGGAGCCTACGATCTAATGGTATAACATCGCAAGCGGTGAATTCAACTTGGAAATGTGAGATGTCACTTGAAAATTTAGTCAACTATAAATTGAAAATAAAGTGATCGTAAAGTACATCTCAAGTTTTCACGCTTTAGGTGTGCAGTTTCAGTCAAAATATACTTCATGATTAATTAACCTTAAACTGGTTTTCTGAATTAGTGTCGTGTAACATTGCATAGTGTGATTTTCGTTTCTCAAGTAATGCTTTGTAAAGTAATACTTATTGGAAAAACCTGATTCTAATTAAAAAATTATTTTTAACAATAAAAAAAAAGGTATTTACAAAAAGTTTCTTACAGCTCTAACTATTGTAATTAACTAAAACTGTAAGCTATAAGTGCATAGCAACATTGTAACCCAAAAAGCACTGCGGCATATCCCTCACAGTGTAACCAGAGTCATTAGATTGCGTTTGTTGACCAGTCTATGGTTAAACCGAACTATAAAATATATAAAACAAAAATTCATTTACTTGTTTTTCAATTTTTGAATCAACTGGACATCGGTTAACCAGTAGACTGATGACTTTTAATGTTTTCTTACTCTGAAATCATAGCGATTTATGAATAAATTTATAAAATTTAAACATTTCATATTTTTATTTACAAATACCTCTTTCATTGTAGCTGTAACACTGGAAGTTAATATCAAAAATATGAAACTCGCCAATGAAAAATTTATCCCATTACATATATAAATTACTCTGTCATAAGATGCTATTGAGAGTACTGACAAAATTATGAAGTAAAGTCGAATAATATTTATTGTGAGGTAGTGAATGATTGAAATCAAAAGGGGTAATCCATAAAAGTCAACGACATTGTCACATACTTCACACAGTTCAACGTAAGCATGTTTAATGATTTCTGTTTCATGCCTGAAAGATACTTCCTTTTCAGACAATACCTTTATTTGATTCGGATCATTTACAATATTGTCCAATTTTGTGATAGTTGCATTGATACTCTTGAATCGTTTATTAATAACCTTTAGTAATGTAGAAAATTGTATCATCACCCAACCTCCGATGAAATCAGGGTAAATTCTCAGTAACAACGTTACGAATGAAAAATTTGAGTGGTGTAACAAAATTGATGTCGAAGTGGCAGAGCATAGAAATTTCACCATAAATATAAAATAAATGTGTTTATTATTCTTATTTGATAGATAGTTCTCGCATTTTTTCAATTTTTGATCTGTGGTCTTCAAACGATTGATGACGGCAATTAATATTTTCTGACGACAAACGTAAATAAGTGGTATAAAGTTTATACACAATATTGCAATAAATTTGAGCCTTGCTCTGAATGCCGGTGTCAATATTGAATCAGATTGAGCGTGAGGCAATGATGAATTCAGTTCAAAATAAATATTTGATAAACCAATGAACGAAAAAATACAGAGATTATAATATGATCCAACGTATGAAATTTCACATAGATTTATCTCTTCAATATGATTCAGATTTTTTGAAAGTATCGCAGAAGTATCCACTACCCATGGTGACAATCCGATTAGTTTATAGAAAATATACTGAATTATTATGTAATATCGACGGCACACTAAATTGTACCGGTAAAGATTGAATTTTTCTTTCAAATTTAATAACTCCATCATAGAAATCTGAGGAACTAAAATGTCAACTTAACAATGTCGGAATGAAGACTAATGAAAAAACTCGAGAATGCAGCAACTTTATCGCGTTGACAATCGACTCAAAAAAAAACAATAGTTAAGTAATAACGAACTAATTAACTGAATGATAATTATATGTCTCATCTTCAAGTTCTTCTTCAAAGAATGTGAGAGTTGTTTGAAAATTCTCACGATGGAATTAAAATACACCTTTACTCTTAAACTAGATTTGCTAATTTTAAAATCAGATAGATGTTTCTTTAATTAGCAATTATTTAGGATCATCCTCTGTCTTATGTAAAAATAGTTATCACGCAAATATAACAAGCGCCAAACAATGAAAATTATACATTAATTAATCCTATGTTAAAATATACAGACTATTTTCAGAGGTATTAATCTAATTGATATTCAATTAGTATTGAGTATTAAATAATAACTAGAATATTAAATAGACTTCCAATAATTATGTTTATTTGTTTTGAGTGATACACAGTATCTCGTGATTATATAAATAAATGCGATCATTATTTGTCAGAAGGACAACATTGGATCAGTTATTTTGAGTAACTATTGAATATTGTCAATTAGAAGCTGTGCCGAAACTGAACTGAATAACGATAACGAGATAAGTTGCGACGGTACCAACAATCTAAACAAAGAATAAAAAATTTATATATTTATACCTCATTAAAGTGTAAAAATGTAAAAGTTATATTTTATTTTCGCACCATAGCTAACAGTCTGCGGTCTAATGGTATAACATCGTAGGCCGTGAATTCAATTTTCAAATGCAAAATATCGCTAGAAAACTTAGCCAACTAAAATCAAGAAACTTTAGATAGTGATTATGAAATTAAATGTAATAAATAAACCAACAAATTTCAGTTACTCGTTGTTCAATTTTCTGATCCATTGAACACTGATCCATAAGTAAATTTATAACTTTTCCTGTTTTGTTACTCTGGAAAAAATTAATAAATTTATTATGTTTAATTGGTAATTGATTTGTTAATCACTTTACCTCCTTAGTTGTTTTGGTGACAGTAGAAGTTAACACTACAAGTAAGAAAATAATCGACCCGTTGACTACTACTGCACAAACGTAGAGCATATTGTTAGATTCTTTTATTTGAAGTAATGCCAAAATTACAAAGTACAGTCGAATTATGCTTATCAACACGTAATGAATAATCGAAATGAGAATAGGTAATCCGTAAAAATCAGCAGAGTCTTGACATATTTCGCACAGTTCAATGAAAGCAAATTTAATAGTTCTTATTTCGAAGATCGCTAATTCAGTTAATAGTGATCCATTTTTTTCACTCGCGTTTAATTTACTTCGAATGTCTAATTTTGATATAGCAGAATTGATACTTTTAAATCGTTTATAAATTTTTCTTAATAATATGGTGAATTGTATTATCATCCAACTACTGATAAAATCAGGAAATAAAATAATAAGCTGAACTATAACCGAAGATTTTGAAAAATAATAAAATACCAGGACTATGTAACTAATAAAAATTAAAAAATTCATGATAAAAATAAAATAAGTATAACAATTTCTTCTTCTTGCTTTGTAGCTTCGACAATTCTGCAATTTTATATCGACATTTTTCAAGCGATTGATTACACTGATCATTAATTTTTGCCGACAAATATAAATCAGTGGTATAAAAGTAATACACAGCACTGCTACAAATTTAAGTTTGGCTCTTACCGTTGGCGTTAAAATTGAGTCATACAGAAAATTAGGGAATGTTAAGTTAAATAAAACATAAAAATTTGTTGAACTAATAAATAAAAATAATAAAAGATTATAACATGATCCCAAGTACGAAAGTTTGCACACAATAATTTGATCGTTATCGTTCGGTGGCGTTTTTAAAATAATATTAGACATGTCCAAGCTCCACGGCGACAATCCAATTATTTTGTAAAAAATATGTTGAACAAATATAAAATATCGATTGTAACCTGACCTACATCGATCGCAGAAAAATTTGTTCTTCAGCTTTAAATTTATTAGTTCCATTACTTGGTTTTTATTGTTGAGAAACTATCGGAAACTAAAGTGCTAACAACAATGTCAGAATAAGACTAATGAATATAACGATCTCGGTAACATTTTTCGATGCCATGTCTATTTTCATTTATCGCATAATTGTTGTGGTGATCTAGATAAGTTACATGTTAAGTAATAAAGTAATGATCGACTAATTAACTGGTTGATAATTATAATTATATATTTCGTCCTTTGATTGTTTTTAGAAATTATTGATAAGAACAAAATTTTAAGTGTTGTAAAATTATTTTGTTTTTGAGCTGAACCAACGACTACTCGTTAAAAGTTTAAATTTAAGTTGTTTACTAACAATAACCAAGAAGGGAACATAAAACTGTTTTATTAAGAAAACAACTTTCACGAAAATCTATACTAACACCTTGAAACCGTACCCAACTCGCTATTAATCGTTACAAGAGTAGATATAGTTATTTTTAATGAGATCTTTAATGATCAACTTTAGTTGCGATTTTATTAATAACTTTGACATTGTTAAATAAGAGTCATAAAAATAATTGAAAAATCTCTCGATGAAAATTTTCAATTACTTTGGCTAGTTTCACTATTGCAAAAATATCTTCTGTGATTAACTGCAAATTGAACAAATTAATACTTTTCAATTATTTATCAATTTCAAAAGAAATAATAAAAAAAAAAGTTTTCTTCATCAGTAGTAAATTTTTTAGCTGATGTTCTCAACACCCTTAAAACAAGTGTATCAAGAGAGTAATTTTTCTAACAACCACATGTGCTTTAATGGTAGTGCACTAAAAAATGTGTTAAAAACTGCTATCATTTAAGCTCATGTATTTTGAGGAAATAATGCTCTCGAGTTTTAAAACAGCCCATTACTTTTTACCGTAAAAAGTAATTTGTCAATGGTCACATTTCACGGATATAAAATTATTTGGAGTTATAAAGTCTTGCAAGCATTTAAATGATGTTCAAAAGGAGTTACTATTTGACAAGATTCGAAACTCAATTAAATAACAATAATGAGATTTAAAAATATTTTGTCATACAATAAACCAATTATCTGTTCCTTTTGACAATCTGATAAGACATCATATAACTGTTAAGGTCTATCACTGTAATCACTATTAACTTGGATAAAAACCACTATAAATAATCTGGGAGAATGTTTCAAAGTATTCTCTAAGCACTCTTGACAAAAACTATTGTGTACATCTAGTACAAAAGAGTATAAGACGCTCGGGTCTTGACCTACTCTTCAACTCGTAAAATAATCTTCAAACCTTGCAACTTATTTATTTGTACTATATGTACAGAAATACAAGAAATCGAATGTATTTCATAAAAATATATGATTTTTTACTATTGCGACAAGTGTAACAATTTATTGAAAAGTTCTCGGCATTTTCAAAATATTCAATAGTGACTTAATAATTTCTTTAATTCTATAATTTCAATTTATGTATTGATGTAACTTTTGAATAGTAGTCGTAATAACTTACTCTACAACTGAATTATTAATTGATGATCATTCATAAGCTGAAATATAAATATAATATTCGCTACCGAAAACCGATACGTTTCAAGATAATTAAATATGAATTGAAAATGCTTTACTTTAGTCGACTATAATACGTATTTAATGCCATTTTATTCGAAATAAGAAATTGAGAGGTTTTAATAATGTAACTTTTATTCATATGTATGGTAATGTCGCAGTCACCTTTGAATATCACCAGTGATTTTAACTGTCATTGTTATCAGAATATTTATAGAAAATGAGCTTTAATTAAATTAATTCACATAGCTTCGATAAATCTCCAGTTCAAATAAATAGAACAAGATTTGCATGAGTGTACAAAATGGTAGTTGAAATTTTTTTTCGAACTCACTTCGGTTTTTACAATTGTAAATTTTTGAATATTCTGTACTATCATAGATCAATTTACTAAAGCTGACATGGTCATAACAAAAGCTGTGTAAATGTCGATTCAAGAAACCTGGTTTGTAGCAGAAAAAATTTGTGTCGCGTGATGACTATTCGTGTTTTGTTTACCTCAAACATATACAAATATACTTGCATGGTAACTGTTACTAAATTTTTTCACATGAATTTTTTTTAATGACTTCTATGAATTATATATCAATAAAAAGCATTATTTATGCACACATTAACGCTTTAATATATATAAAACTTGCAAAAAATAATATGGATACATTTTTTAGTTTATAAATGCTATGATACTATTTTTTTTACCTAACTATGGATATTTATACTCACAAACATAGAATAAATTAATTTTGAAACGATAAATTGAAGCTAATGGACTGAAATAATTAGTTTATACCGAATACTTAAAATAGAATAATCTGAATTGAATAACCGATATTCAGTACCCTTTAATTCTAAATGAAAAAGTTAAATGTTAATTTATGTATCTCGAACTATAACACGCGATAATGCCACATTTGAGTTTGGCAGTAATTCCTGTCATTGATCCAAATATCCTGCAGAATTAAGCTTTAGTAAAATATTAATTAATCGATAATTATAAATTTCATGCATTTACGGTGAAAATCGATGAAATATTTAATCCCACATTACATTTAAAATTTGGACTATTTCAAATCATCTCTTCAGTTTCTTAAATTGTAACAGATTTAACTGTTGTGAGTAACTAGCACAAAGTTGCCGCGATGAATACGGTCTAAAACATCGATTGAAAAAACGTAGTCGTAGAAATAAATGTACAAATATTGCGTGATAGCTATTCGTGTTTTGGTCACTTCAAACGTAAGCGCTTGAATATTCGCACTCACGTTCATGAAAAATGTTTACAAATAAGTTACTTCTAATAGCTTCTACGAAATATTTACCGATAAAAAATATTATTTATTTATACATACTCAAAGGAAATACAAACTTTTTAGAATTGAAGGGGTTACAGTTTATTATTGATTGAAAATTATTTCCAAAGACACCCACATCAATTAAATAATTAATATCGCTCGTTTTTAATTTAGTATTTTGTAGAATCAATTCGATTAACATAACTGACCCGACAACCATTGAATATTTTAATTTGTAGAAATTATCTTTTGGAAATTATAAGCATTTGGAAAATATATTTATCGCAAAAACTTTTCTCATTCAAACTCGAAAATTAAATATCGAATTCATATAAGTTTAGTGTCCAAATTTATCCAACTCTAAATTTTAAAAGTTCAATTCTCTGAGCACATTTCAATAACTTCAATTTTCAAAAGCTTTTTCGCTTAGTAACTGTCAAAAGTGCTTACTCATATAGAAATATATACAAATACACAAAAATATATCAAGTGTAAATTCAATCACAAATAAAATACATTTGAAAAAAAAAACACAGAAGCAAATCAATTTGTTTGAACAAGTTCGGTAAATGATATTCTACACATACAATTTTTATGTTATGTATACGCAAATAAACATATTTGCAAGTACGCTAAAAAGTCAATTTTGATGTACATATCATAAATATACTTTCACACGAGCTCAAAACATAATAATAATAATATCATCATTATTACCAGAAAGTATAGTAACGAAAATTTGTATAATATAAATGGAATTCAATGTATATAAATGGATCTGTAACATCTCTGAACTAATAAATTATTGAAAAGCTCTGTTTCACGAACTATTTACGCACATATGAGAAAAAAAATGTTAATCAATTTGATTAGTGCGTGGCGTTGCCTACATTCGACGGGGGGTAAACAAAGCTGTGAGTAATGAAATAAAACTGTCGATCCTTTTATTAATTATAATTAAACAACGTCAATTCGAGTAACGATTTTCCAGAGAGTGGAGTATAGTCTCGAGTTTTCACTAAAACTCGCGCTAAATAAATTATCTCCATCAAATACGTACTCCCGAAAATTATTCTTTATTATGCTTTTTTGCAATAACACACTGTTTATATAACTGCTCGTGTACGGCACGAACAGGATCTGGCACAATTTAAAGTGAATAAATTGAAGAAAAATTTTCAATCGAATACAGAACACTTGACTTTTGACGAGTGTTACATATACAAAACTATTAAGTAAAAAAAACATCCTCAAATATTGTGAGACGGATGTATAAAAATCGATTTTTATTTTTACATTACATCCCCATAAATGTTTATATTTAAAATAACTGAAATTTATGTTTTATTTTATTGATTTATCAAGTGCAAAAGCTTTTTACTTTACAAAACCGATTTTAAAATTCAAATAATTACGTTCTTCAAACATAAATGCATATATTTTATGTTTTATATTATTTTTATATATAAACACGTAGATTTTGAGTATTACTGAAAAATTGATCGAACAAATATATAGTCAGTAAATTGCAAGGGCTTTAAAAATAACTTTCGAGAGGCAACGTATTGAATAAAATATGAGTATATATACACTTCAATAAAATTCGTAATAGACATACGAGCGATCAGGTAGGAATATCTAGAGCTTTGGTAAATGTTTGACCATACCGCTATGAATACTGACCGTTGCCTCAAACTTGTCGCCCAATAGGATCAATTCTTTTAATCTGCGGCGTACATCTTTTATTCCTGAGTCACTAGATAAATATTATTGCTAAATATCGTAAATAAAATAATTCATGATGAATTTGAGATTTAAGATTTAAGATAAAATGTATACAAATATAAACCACATAGGTTGTATGCATATGAATATCAATAATAATCGTTCTGACCATAATGATATTGTATCCGAGGAATGAACATATGAGTTAAAATATTGTTCGGTTGTGCTTACATTGAAATTCGAGAACACAAAAGTCACTTGACAGATCGAGAAAGCCACCAAGTGAAGCGCCGATATTCTTTTTTATTTGTAGTATCTTTTTTCTTCTCATATATGTATATATGACACCCACGAGCAAACACAAATAAAAAAGCGGTCTGTCGGTTCTTTTTGATATAAGTGTCGACAGGACACCTGGCCACAACAATA